TACAACAAGTAATAGTAAAAACACAGAAATATGCTCACACCGCAATTTACAAGCTTCATTTTCACTCTACTAGTCTCCTAACCAGGATTGGGGCCAATTCCATTTCAATTAAGTCAATTCAAGGGAGTGATTTCAAATCCCAATTCATGAACTGAAATGTGCCATTGTTTTTCAATTATGGATTTTTATAAATTCATAAAGATTTTCTGAATTCTTATGCATTTTCTCAATTCTTGAAAAGGAATTTGATATCCCTTCCTGAATTGGCTGACTTGAGATGAAATTGACCCCAACCATCCAAACCAGCAACTGACTGCAGCAAAGCAACACCTAGTCTGAAGACTACCCAAAGAACCTAAGACTAACTAACTATGCTTTCATATAGGAAAGAGCTCAATCTGAAGGACTTCAGAAGTCTATGCATAGCCCTAAATGACTTTGTTACAAAAACAAACTTCCAGTCTCTATATAGCCACTGGGCGCGTTCCAGACTGACTACATTGCAGACGCCTTCCAGATCCCACAACGCTTGGATAGGACTTTAACACATCAGCTATCCGCATTATGATATAGCAACCTGATGCCTGACTGCCAAGTCGATGATGTGGCTCGCAACTATTGGTTGATGCCCTGGAATGTCTGCAACGTCTGCAATGTAGTCGGCCTGGAACGTGACCATTACGTTACTTCAATATCAAGAGGTTTTAAAGTTCAACTAGGCTTCGATTTCATATTTACTTAACTTTCTCTAGCACTGGCATTATCTCAATAAGACAAAACAGATACTAATACTACTCTTTGTACGTTGTATATCTTCATCACAATCACATTTCCACACAAGTAGACTTAAAGGCTACGCTACAATATCCATGCTAGCATACTACTTAGAATGGTAGGACCTAATACACTGGCTCGTTCCCTAAGGCTACATTTACACAGGCAGCCCTATTCTGATCTTTTGCCAGTAATTGGTATTTTGACTAATCCGATCAGATATTTTGTCAATAATTGGGCAAAATATCAGAATTGGACTGCCTGTATAAACGCAGCCTAAGTAGTGTGCTAGTGTGGATATTGGAACAGAGCCTTTATGTACCCTCCAATGTCCATACTGCAATACTACTTAGAATGCTAGGACCCAATACACTGGTTAGTTCCCTACTGGTTCATTCCCTAAGTAGTATGCTATTAAGGATATTGGAAAAGATACTATTCTCTCTTCAGTGTCTTTAAAAAACGCGAATTATATCATGGACAATAAGCAGCAGCTCTGGGGTTAGTAAGTAACAAATAAGTTGTTCAAATTAACATTGCTTAATTTTTTTTCATCCTGCAATCAACAATATAACAATGCTAGTATTACAATGAGTGACAAGGATGTGGCAAAAAAGCACAAACAGACTGGTACCAAGTCTATAAAAATGCAGCTTTTAGACACTAACCTGCGTAAGTAACCACTGCAAAATGCTTTGTGTCTTTGTTGAGTATATACAATGAAGGTAGAAATGGTAAAAATTTCATACAAGTGGGATATACATGGGGGGGGGGGGGATGTAACAGGTTCAATTTTTGAATTAAATCTCAAACTCCAGCAACAACACAAAATTCTGAAGTGCACTTTCTAGACCAACTCAATTGGTTCAACCAATTGAATTCAACCAATACATCTAATATTGAAGGCAATCCAATAGATAGAAATTGCAGGTCGGATATCAATCAACGTTTGATTTCTAGCATCAACAGTTTAACAGTTCAAATCACTTATTTTTTATATGTTTAAGCAAACAAATCCACACCAATCATAGGGCCTGTGTCGATTGGATACGCTTTTTGATTGGATAAACAGAGTTAGGGGACAAGTATGTGGGCTATACTATGTCCTATACTATATTTTCAGGAAATATCAAAATGGAAGCCTGGTACGAGATCTGTATGTTTTAGTTTAGCAAGTCCTCTGACTATCATTGTCAAACTCAAACTGATCCAGGAACAGGCTACCATCTCCTACATAATCATATTGTAAACAGGCATATTAGTGGTATTTAAAACAGTTAAAATAAATTAAAATGATATGTACACATAGTTGGGCAGGGGGAGGTCTACAGAGGTCGAAAACTGCCCTCCATGTTGGCACCAAGTTATGTCACAATGACATTCTGAACTTAGAATGTCATGCAAGTTGGCGGTGTCAACATGGCCGCCAATGGAACCCTACATTACAAACTGAGTTTGCCGATCTCTGTATAGCCAGGTATAAGGAGGGGGGGGGGGGGGAACTATCGTTCAAAAGTGGTGTGTGTGTTTGTGTGTGTGTGTCAGGTGGAGGGAGATATTCCGCAAGGTGGGAGCGTGTAAGTGTGTGCCCTCTTTGTGTGTGTGTGTGTGTGCAGGTGTGTGTGTAGGTTGGGGGACGAGGCAGGACAGGAGGAACGTTAGACAGCGTTCTCCTCACTAGGGGGCTCCAGAAGAGTCTGTTGAACTGTGGGTGAAAGAGAGGAGAGATGAAACTGATGGTTATAAACCTGATCACATTTACATTTACGTCATTTAGCAGACGCTCTTATCCAGAGCGACTTACAGTTAGTGAGTGCATACATATTTTTTTTTTTATACACAAACTGCAACATATTTTTTTTATACAGTACCAGTCAAAAGTTTGGACACACCTTCTCCTTCCAGGGTATTTCTTTATTTTTACTATTTTCTACATTGTAGAATAATAGTGAAGATATCAAAACTATGAAATAACACATATGGAATCATGTAGTAACCAAAAAAAGTGTTAAACAAATCAAAATATATTTGCTATTCTTCAAATAGCCACCCTTTGCCTTGATGACAGCTTTGCACACTCTTGGCATTCTCTCAACCAGCTTCACCTGGAATGCTTTTCCAACAGTCTTGAAGGAGTTCCCACATATGCTGAGCACTTGTTGGCTGCTTTTCCTTCATTTACATTTTTACATTTTAGCAGACACTCTTATCCAGAGCGACTTACAGTTAGTGAGTGCATACATACTGGCCCCCCGTGGGAATCGAACCCACAACCCTGGCGTTGCAAGCGCCATGCTCTACCAACTGAGCTACACAGGACCCTTCACTCTGCGGTCCGAGGCCAGGTCCTCTGATGCAGCACTCCATCACTCTCCTTCTTGGTAAAATAGCCCTTACACATCCTGGAGGTGTGTTGGGTCATTGTCCTGTTGAAAAACAAATGATAGTCCCACTAAGCCCAAACCAGATGGGATGGCGTATCACTGCAGAATGCTGTGGTAGCCATGCTGGTTAAGTGTGCCTTGAATTCTAAATAAATCACAGACAGTGTCACCAGCAAAGCTCCCCCATACCATAACATCTCCTCCTCCATGCTTTACGGTAGGAAATACACATGCGGAGATCATCCGTTCACCCACACTGCGTCTCACAAAGCCACGGCGGTTGGAACCTTAAATCTCCAATTTGGACTCCAGACCAAAGGACACATTTCCACCGGTCTAATGTCCATTGCTTGTGTTTCTTGGCCCAAGCAAGTCTCTTCTTCTTATTGGTGTCATTTAGTAGTGGTTTCTTTGCAGCAATTCAACCATGAAGGCCTGATTCATACGGTCTCCTCTGAACAGTTGATGTTGAGATGTGTCTGCGGCTGGTAACTCTAATGAACTTATCCTCTGCAGAAGAGGTAACTCTGGGTCTTCCATTCCTGTGGCGGTCCTCATGAGAGCCAGTTTCATCATAGCGCTTGATGGTTTTGGCGACAGCACTTGAAGAAACTTTCAAAGTTCTTGAAATTTTCCGGATATACTGACCTTCATGTCTTAAAGTAATGATGGACTGTTGTTTCTCTTTGCTTATTTGAGCTGTTCTTGCCATAATATGGACTTGGTCTTTTACCAAATAGGGCTATTTTCTGTATACCACCCTACCTTGTCACAACACAACCGATTGGCTCAAACGTATTAAGAAGGAAAGAAATTCCACAAATTAACAAGACACACCTGTTAATTGAAATGCATTCTCATGAAGCTGGTTGAGAGAATGCCAAGAGTGTGGAAAGCTGTCATCAAGGCAAAGGGTGGCTATTTGAAGAATCTCAAATATAAAATATATTTTGATTTGTTTAACACTTTTTTGGTTACTACATGATTCCATATGTGTTATTTCATAGTTATGACGTGTTCACTATTATTCTACAATGTAAAAAAATAGTACAAATAAAGAAAACCATTGAAGGAGTAGGTGTGTCCAAACTTTTGACTGGTAGTGTATATTTTTTTTAGTTGTTGTAATTTTCCCTTATTTTCTCCCCAATTTTGTGATATCAAATTGCGATCTTGTCTCATCGCTGCAACTCCCCAACGGGCTCGGGAGAGGCGAAGGTCGAGTCATGCATCCTCCGAAACATGACCCGCCAAGCCGCGTTTCTTAACACCCGCTCGCTTAACCCAGAAGCCAGCCCCACCAATGTGTCGGACGAAACACTGTTCAACTGATGACCGAAGTCAGCTTGCAGGCGCCCGGCCCGCCACAAGGAGTCGCTAGAGCGCGAAAAGCCAAGTAAAGCCCCCCAAGCCAAACCCTCCCCTAACCCGGACGACGCTGGTCCAATTGTGCGCCGCCCTATGGGACTCCCGGTCACGGCCGGTTGTGACACAGCCTGGGATCGAACCCCAGGCTGTAGTGACGCCGCAACACTTCGATGCAGTGCCTTAGACCGCTGCGCCACTCAGGAGTTCCCACAAACTACAACTTCTAAAGCTTAATAATGTCTTCATAAACCTTTTACAACTAGAACCAGCCCTATGCCAATTTTCAATTGGAGGTCATTTTATCTACTCTAATCTACTTCATTTTAAGTAAAGTAAAATAGGCTGCATATTGTCCAAACACAAAGATCACTTCTTCTTATGGATTCCATAATAAGAAAGGTGTTGGTCATATATGGTATAAGTTCAGGGGTAACGAAAACCTTTCCCTCACTTTTCTTTAGTCTCTTTTTCTCACCAGACTGGAGACATCCCAGAGTATTGAGTTACCAAATAAAACATGAGTTCCTCCTCCTCCATCCAGACCATTTTAACTGGAGAGAATACAGTTTCATATTTCACTCTCGTGTCAACCAACAACACTGCAGAACCATCAATACTCACCAGCGAGTGAGCTACCCATCATTGGGTGTGTCAGTGAAACTGGATAGCATTTTTTAGGACTATAAATGTCCTCCTCATATTGTAGTCTACAATATGTGTCTCCACACACCTAGACCTATGCTATTGATGGATTTAAGGTCGTTTTTATTGATCTCAGATTCTCAGTTTGTCAATGTCAAAGTAGCCTGTCATTTCGATCATTTGTGCAGTATTAAAAAAGATTCTGCCAAAGTCTCCAGTCATGTAAAATGACGTAGAACTGCATGAAATGACACCGCAAAAACAACCGCTATGCAAATGTCGGCTAAATGTATGCACTCACTAACTGTAAGTCACTCTAGATAAGAGCGTCTGCTAAATGACAAAAATGTCAAATGTAAAGCGGATCTGATTGAATAGAGCTCTAGTTCTCTATGGGTGGTTAGGTAGTTACCTTGTGGTTCTGTGGCCACCACAGCATCCGGGTTATCAGTCTTCACCAGGTCTGCATTAAGGCTCTCTGTGATGGTAGGAGACAACAGTCTGAGATCATCTCATATCTACATTATTAATGATTAAATATGAATGTACTATTATTATTATCTCTAGATTATAGAGGACAATAATCCCAGCTGGTCTCTTACGTTGTATGCTGAAGCAGAACTTCTTCTTCTGGTAGGAGATGTAGCTGGTAACCGCGCCAACCAGCGCCACGCCAACGGCACTGATGATCCCTGCGATGGTTCCAGTCTCCGCCATGGTGTCTGGAACAAAGGAAGAACACAGAGCGGTATAATCAATAATCAACAATCAATATTAGACACAGACCATGGCCATGTATAACTTTTGGTTCATAGAAATATTGTTGTTGTTATCAACAAATATTGTTGTTGTCATCATACCATAGTTGTTGTCATCAGCAGTAGATGGGCCGCCACGACGTCCACCTACATGGACAAATAGAAAGATGTACTGTGAGGTAGTATGTTACTGTCACACCCTGATCTGTTTCACCTGTCTTTGTGCTTGTCTCCACCCCCCCTCCAGGTGTCGCCCATCTTCCCCATTATCCCCAGTGTATTTATACCTGTGTTCTCTGTTTGTCTGTTGCCAGTTCATTTTGTTTCGTCAAGCCTACCGGCGGTTTTCCCCTTGCTCCTGTCTTTCTCAAGTTCCTGTTTTCTAGTTTTCCCGGTTTTGACCATTCTGCCTGCCCTGACCCTGAGCCTGCCTGCCGTTCTGTACCTTGTCACACCACCCTGGATGATTGATCTCTGTCTGCCCTGACCCTGAGACTGCCTGCCGTTCTGTACCTTTTGGACTCTGATCTAGATTACTGCTCTTGACCTGTCGTTTGCCTTTTGTTACTTCGACACTGTCTGCATCTGGGTCTTCTTCTGAAACGTGATAGTTACATTATTTATTAATGTGCATTCATGTGCAATCAATGTAAATGCATTTAATAAGGGCCCCTGTGTCCTGACAGAGAATCTTAACAATCCAGATGTAAATATTGTGTATTTATTTGTCATATTAAAACAATACATTTACGGTTATACATATAAGTAGGATTTAAAACAGAGTATCTTCAATAATTTATCATAAGAAATACAAGCAAAGGTCTGAACTCAGAAGTCTGTCCTTAAGCTCTTTTTTTGTTTGTTTATCTAATCATTTCCCATATCTAAGATCATTACCTTTCCCTTTGTCAGGGTTGTAGGTGTCGTCATTTCCAACGCCAAACAGATCATCATCTGAAAAGGCTCCACCTAAATGCGGGATATAGGACAACATTAACTGGCAACCCTAACCTGACACACCAGGCTCCAAGCCAGGAACGATCCCCTTACAAACACAACCAATGTCCCCAAAGGAAGGTCACCAGAGAGAGGAGAAAGTTCAGCATACGAGGGGTCAGTCACAGTATATAGAGGATAAGTGCAGGTTGCCAGATTTCACTCTGGGAAGAGAAGGAGAAGATTAGCCTTTGACAAGATCTAGCCGGAGTGAAACTACAGCTGCCATCCCCATGCGAGTTGCCAGATATTGTGACCACATTGACAGGAAAACAGAAGTGGTGCCTTATTGAGGATGTGGGTTTTGGATATAGACCATCAGTCCTGCTTTGTGTGCAGTACACCCACAGTACAAACATACCAAGGGGAAGCTTTTAGTAGAGTATGTGTTTATCCATCCAAACACAGTACACACACTCAGAGTGTGTGTTCAGTCGATAACTCCCCAGTAGGTCTTGTTAATGGTGTGAGAGAGAGATCGGGAGGACCAAGGGAGAGAGGGGTAGGGATAGAGAGATGGATAAATGGAGATAGAGAGGCAGAAAGTAAGAGACAGAGAGGCAGGGAGAGATAAAGAGAGAGACAGTGACATAAAGAAAGGAAAGATACAGTGAGGGAAAAAAGTATTTGATCCCCTGCTGAATTTGTACGTTTGCCCACTGACAACGACATGATCAGTCTATAATTTTAATGGTAGGTTTATTTGAACAGTGAGAGACAGAATAACAACATCAAAATCCAGAAAAACGCATGTCAAAAATGTTATAAATTGATTTGCATTTTAATGAGGGAAATAAGTATTTGACCCCTCTGCAAAACATGACTTAGTACTTGGTGGCAAAACTCTTGTTGGCAATCACAGAGGTAAGATGTTTCTTGTAGTTGGCCACCAGGTTTGCACACATCTCAGGAGGGATTTTGTCCCACTCCTCTTTGCAGATCTTCTCCAAGTCATTAAGGTTTCGAGGCTGACGTTTGGCAACTCGAACCTTCAGCTCCCTCCACAGATTTTCTATGGGATTAAGGTCTGGAGACTGGCTAGGCCACTCCAGGACCTTAATGTGCTTCTTCTTGAGCCACTCCTTTGTTGCCTTGGCCGTGTGTTTTGGGTCATTGTCATGCTGGAATACCCATCCACGACCCATTTTCAATGCCCTGGCTGAGGGAAGGAGGTTCTCACCCAAGATTTGACCGTACATGGCGCCGTCCATCGTCCCTTTAATGCGGTGAAGTTGTCCTGTCCCCTTAGCAGAAAAACACCCCCAAAGCATAATGTTTCCACCTCCATGTATGACGGTGGGGATGGTGTTCTTGGGGTCATAGGCAGCATTCCTCCTCCTCCAAACACGGCGAGTTGAGTTGATGCCAAAGAGCTCGATTTTGGTCTCATCTGACCACAACACTTTCACCCAGCTCTCCTCTGAATCATTCAGATGTTCATTGGCAAACTTCAGACGGGCCTGTATATGTGCTTTCTTGAGCAGGGGGACCTTGCGGGCGCTGCAGGATTTCAGTCCTTCTCGGCGTAGTGTGTTACCAATTGTTTTATTGGTGACTATGGTCCCAGCTGCCTTGAGATCATTGACAAGATCCTCCCGTGTAGTTCTGGGCTGATTCCTCACCGTTCTTATGATCATTGCAACTCCACGAGGTGAGATCTTGCATGGAGCCCCAGGCCGAGGGAGATTGACAGTTCTTTTGTGTTTCTTCCATTTGCGAATAATCGCACCAACTGTTGTCACCTTCTCACCAAGCTGCTTGGCGATGGTCTTGTAGCCCATTCCAGCCTTGTGTAGGTCTACAATCTTGTCCCTGACATCCTTGGAGAGCTCTTTGGTCTTGGCCTTGGTGGAGAGTTTGGAATCGGATTGATTGATTGCTTCTGTGGACAGGTGTCTTTTATACAGGTAACAAGCTGAGATTAGGAGCACTCCCTTTAAGAGTGTGCTCCTAATCTCAGCTCGTTACCTGTATAAAAGACACCTGGGAGCCAGAAATCTTTCTGATTGAGAGGGGGTCAAATACTTATTTCCCTCATTAAAATGCAAATCAATTTATAACATTTTTGACATGCATTTATCTGGATTTTTTTGTTGTTATTCTGTCTCTCACTGTTCAAATAAACCTACCATTAAAATTATAGACTGATCATTTCTTTGTCAGTGGGCAAACGTAGAAAAATCAGCAGGGGCTCAAATACTTTTTTCCCTCACTGTATATTGGATGTTAAAGAGAGGAATTAGGTTAAATTGAACTAGGTATTATCCAAGAACAGAGCAAAAAGCTAGTCCCCAGCCCAGTAGACAGAGGCAGGACAGGCACAGTAGGGTTTAGTTTGGTCAGGTAGACCAGGTAGGTTAGGGTAGGCACGGCATAGGGTAGGTCAGGCAGGGTTCTTACCCCCATTCCCCCCTCTGTTGTTGGAAGCTCCGTCACCCCTGCCCCCGCCTCCGATACCTTTATCTGATGAGCACATGACACCACATCAACCTTCTGTATACTAATACTATAATAATACTACCACTCTACTATATTACTGCTATACTATTACTACTTTACAGTAGTATAGCCTACACACCATCAACCACCTGGTACTAAACTAATACTACCACTAATACTACTATTTCTGGTGTCTAGAACATTACTGCTATTGTACAGCTATACTATGACTATACTACTTGCTACTACACTACTACTGCTAAACCACTACACTGGAGGTTAAAAACCAAGCCATGAGGTCGAAGGAATTGCCCGTAGAGCTCCGACACAGGATTGTGTCGAGGCACAGATCTGGGGAAGGGTACCAAAACATTTCTGCAGCATTGAAGGTCCCCAAGAACACAGTGGCCTCCATCATTCTTAAATGGAAGAAGTTTGGAACCACCAAGACTCTTCCTAGAGCTGGCCGCCCAGCCAAACTGAGCAATAGGGGGAGAAGGGCCTTGGTCAGGGAGGTGACCAAGAACCCGATGGTCACTCTGGCAGAGCTCCAGAGTTCCTCTGTGGAGATGGGAGAACCTTCCAGAAGGACAACAATCGTTGCAGCACTCCACCAATCAGGCCTTTATGGTAGAGTAGCCAGACGGAAGCCACTCCTCAGTAAAAGGCACATGACAGCCCCCATGGAGTTTGCCAAAAAAATGTTTTTATCTGCTCTGATGAAACCAAGATTGAACTCTTTGGCCTGAATGCCAAGTGTCACGTCTGGAGGAATCCTGGCACCATCTCTAAGGTGAAGCATGGTGGTGGCAGCATCATGCTGTGGGGATTTCTTTCAGCGGCAGAGACTGGGAGACTAGTCAGGATCGAGGGAAATATGAACGGAGTACAGAGAGATCCTTGAGGAAAACCTGCTCCTGAGTGCTCAGGACCTCAGACTGGGGCGAAGGTTCACCTTCCAACAGGACCACAACCCTAAGCACACAGCCAAGACAACGCAGGAGTGGCTTTGGGACAAGTCTCTGAATGTCCTTGAGTGGCCCAGCCAGAGCCCGGACTTGAACCTGATCGAACATCTCTGGAGAGACCTGAAAATAGCTGTGCAGTGACGTTCCCCATCCAACCTGACAGAGCTTGAGAGGATCTGCAGAGAAGAATGGGAGAAACTCCCCAAACACAGGTGTGCCAAGCTTGTAGCTTCATACCCAAGAAGACTCGAGGCTGTAAACGCTGTCAAAGGTACTTCAACAAAGTACTGAGTAAAGGGTCTGAATACTATTTGTAATAAATTAATTTTGAAAAACCTGTTTTTGCTTTGTCATTATGGGGTATCGTAGCTAAATCAAGGGGTCTGAATACTGTCCGAATGCACTGTACGTGAACAAACAAAGAGGTGTAATGGGTTCACACTCAAAAATACACCACCAGTCAAAAGTTTGGACACACCTACTCATTCAAGGGTTTTTCTTTATTTTTACTATTTTTTTACATTATAGAATAATAGTTCAATAACACATATGGAATCATGTAGTAACCAAAAAAGTGTTAAACAAATCAAAATATATTTTATATTTGAGATTATTCAAATAGCCACCCTTTGCCTTGATGACAACTTTGCACACTCTATGCATTCTCTCAACCAGCTTTATGACATAGTCACCTGGAATGCATTTCAATTAACTGTTGTGCCTTCTTAAAAGTTAATTTGTGGAATTTCTTTCCTTCTGAATGCGTTTGAGCCAATCAGTTGTGTTGTAACAAGGTAGGGGGGGGTATAAAGAAGATAGCCCTATTTGGTAAAATACCAAGTCCATATTATGGCAAGAACAGCTCAAATAAGCAAAGAGAAACAACAGGTCAGTCAATCCGGAAAATTGAAAGTTTCTTCAAGCGCAGTCGCAAAAACCATCAAGCGCTATGATTAAACTGGCTCTCATTCACTGTGTGAATCAGGCCTTCATGGTCAAATTGCTGCAAAGACACCACTACTAAAGGACACCAATAAGAAGAAGAGACTTGCTTGGTCCAAGAAACACGAGCAATGGACATTAGACCGGTGGAAATGTGTCATTTGGTCTGGAGTCCAAATCGGAGATTTTTGGTTCCAACTGCCGTGGCTTTGTGAGACGCTGTGTGGGTGAACGGATGATCTCTGCATGATGATCTCCTACTGTAACGTATGGAGGAGGAGGTGATATTGTGTGGGGGTGCTTTGCTGGTGACACTGTCTATGATTTATTTAGAATTCAAGGCACACTTAACCAGCATGGCTACCACAGCATTCTGCAGTGATACGCCATCCCATCTGGTTTGGGCTTAGTGGGACTATCATTTGTTTTTCAACAGGAAAATGACCCAACACACCTCCAGGCTGTGTAAGGGCTATTTTACCTAGAAGGAGAGTGATGGAGTGCTGCATCAGATGACCTGGCCTCCACAATCCCCCGACCTCAACCCAATTGAGATGGTTTGGGATGAGTCGGATCGCAGAGTGAAGGAAAAGCAGCCAACAAGTGCTCAGCATATGTTGGAACTCCTTCAAGACGGTTGGAAAAGCATTCCAGATGAAGCTGGTTGAGAGAATGCCAAGAGTGTGCAAAGCTGTCATCAAGGCAAAGGGTAGCTACATTGGCTATTTGAAGAATCTCAAATATAAAATATATTTTGATTTGTTTAACACTTTTTTGGTAACTACATGATTCCATATCTGTTATTTCATAGTTCTGATGTCTTCACTATTATTCTACAATGTAGAAAATAGTCAAAGTAAAGAAAAACCCTGGAAGGAGTAGGTGTGTCCAAACTTTTGACTGGTTCTGTATGTCGCATTAAGCTTACTTCATTATTCAATGTTTTTAATTAGTAGGTGTGTCCAAACTTTTGACTGGTTCTGTATGTCGCATAAAGCTTACTTCATTATTCAATGTTTTTATTATTTTCACTGCATCAGGGATAGCGTACACAGGCGTTTCGGCTTTACAGCCTTCTTCAGCGTGTAGGTACAGTTTTCTTTAATTCAAAATAGCAATTCTACTACTGAAACTACAAAGTATACCAGTTATTAGTGAAGGAGATTGGTTAATCACTCTTAATGTCTCATCGCTATATCCCAACAAATATAAATATTACTATCTACAGACTTTTGGAACAGCAATGTGAACTCCATTAGCTCCATTAACTATGCAAATCTCTTTATGGGGAAATTCGAATTGGATTTTATTTACGAAAATAATCCTTACAAAGATTAGGTTAAATATTGGACCAGCTATATAGATTATTGATTTATGATCTGGACGGGTTCCGAAATGAAATTAAATGAATTTCTTAACTACATTAACTCTAGAGTACAATCAATTTCCTTCACTATGGAAAATAACATTAACCTATACATTTCTTAGATGTCCTTGTTACAAAGAAGGGACAATCTCTAAGTACTACAGTTTACAGAAAATACTATATTGACAGCTGATAGTTATCACCCTCTCCCCCTAAAAAGAGGTTTACCAGTTAGCCAACTTAATAGACTGCGACACAGATGAAGAATATGATAGACAATAAAATTCTCTCCTTGAGCGTTTCCGCTTGAGAATAAACTGTTTTCTTTCAACTCTATACTTTCAATGATAGCTGTAATGGCATCAAGTCTATTGTCAATAACCATTGGCACATTATCATCAGACTCCTTTTTAAGTTCTGCTTTCCAGAATCCACCTTCATGATCGAAAAAGTTCATCCACCACGTAGAGGTGACTATGACAACAAATTACTCCAAAGAGAAGCCATGTGGATATATACATTCAATTCTGTATCTCCACATGGTTTAAATGAATAATTCAATTTTGCCTCCTTCCTATAAGCCACATTTAGACTGTTATACAAGAACACTGTCCATATCAGATTTTGCATATCATTTATGTGTTGGCCCCACATACTTATGAACGGCTTTGCCTGATCTCCTTTGTGGTGGGCTGTCTCATGAATTGATGTGATGTTTTTAGGTGAGCGGACACCTGGGGCAATTGATTTGTGAGTTGCCCTTCATGCCCGCTCCCATACCCTATAATTCTGTATCTCTTTGTGACTAATTTGTATACAGCTAGACCAGAAAAGCCACAACCCTGATTGGCAGATGAGTGGCAACCCTGATTAGATGCACCTGCTGCTCATCTGTTGATCTTTACAAATGCTGTTTTGAATGAAAGAAAATTGTACCTACGCACTGAAGAAGGCTGTAAAGCCGAAACGTCTGTGTACGCTATCCCTGATGCAGTAAAAAATTTATAAAACATTGAATAATATTTTTGAGTGCGAACCCATTACACGTCTTTGTTTATCTGAATTCGCGGGTTTTACGCACCAGCCAAGCTTCTGAGAGAGTGCGATGGTTCTCTTTTGATTAGTTACTAAATGTAGCCCATGTATCCGATGCTGTCTGGCCAAAAATAGTATGACAAGGTCAGACAGCATCAGATACATGGGCTACATATAGTAAGACAGAAGGGTGCTGTTTCGCTCGATCGGATGCTTTCTCCAGTGAGATAGTTTCAGCCACTTGCGAATTGAAGGAAAGTTGGCGAATGAGCTGTTCGGATGCTTGGCTTATTTTGGAAGAATGTGCGAAGGTAACCTACTTTTTTAAGTGATTTGTTTGACAATCAGATGAAAACATCTTGACTGGTTGTGTTCCTGCCAAGCTCGTTCACACATAGGAGGTCCCGTGAAAAAGCGAGCCCCCCTTTGGAAATCAAATGCCCTTCCAACTGATTCGTTCTGGTACCAGCCCTGTACCATACCTATTGCAAACCCCCACTATAAGTATGTAATATACAAACAAACAAAAATAAATAAACAAATTAACAAAAAATACAAAACACTTAAATACACAAATAATAAATAACGGGTAACCTGCTTGTCCCTTGTTCTTGTCCTTCCCACCAATGTCGTTGTTGGGGTCCAGAGCATCACTCAGGTCAAACTCATCACTGGCTGCAGGGAGAGGTCACAGGTCAGGGGTCAAAGGTAGAGTTGCAAAATGATGGTAACTTTCCCAAAATACCCAGGTTTTCCAGAAATCCTCATTGGAGGATTACGGATTTCGTGCTTATTCTCTCCTTATTCTGGGAATCTTCCAACCGGGATTTCTGGAAAACCAGGAAATTTGGGGAAAGTTAGTCAAAGTTGAAGCTGAACAAACCATTGCTACGATGCGTTAGGGCATCTAGCACACCTCAACCGAGAGGAAACCACTGCAGAAGTGGCTTCTGTTAGCCTGGTCCAAAATCTGTTTGTGCTCTTGCCAACTCCATTGGTTAATGTCAAGCCAAACATGCACTTAGGCTAGAATTACAGTTGAAGTCGTAAGTTTACATACACCTTAGCCAAATACATTTAAACTCAGTTTTTCCACAATTCCTGACATTTAATCCTAGTAACAATTCCCTGTCTTAGGTCAGTTAGGATCCCCACTTTATTTTAAGAATGTGAAATATCAGAATGATAGTAGAGAGAATGATTTATTTCAGCTTTTATTTCTTTCATCACATTCCCAGTGGGTCAGAAGTGTACATACACTCAATTAGTATTTGGTAGCATTGCCTTTAAATTGTTTAACTTGGGTCAAACATTTCGGGTAGCCTTCTACAAGCTTCCCACAATAAGTTGGGTGAATTTTGGCCCATTCCTCCTGACAGAGCTGGTGTAACTGAGTCAGGTTTTTAGGCCTCCTTGCTCGCACACGCCTTTTCAGTTCTGCCCACAAATGTTCTATAGGATTGAGGTCAGGGCTTTGTGATGGTCACTCCAATACCTTGACTTTGTTGTCCTTAAGCCATTTTGCCACAACTTTGGAAGTATGCTTGGGGTCTTTGTCCATTTGGAAGACCCATTTGCGACCAAGCTTTAACTTCCTGACTGATGTCTTGAGATGTTGCTTCAATATATCCACATAATTTTCCTTCCTCATGATGCCATCTATTTTGTGAAGTGCACCAGTACCTCCTGTAGCAAAGCACCCCCCCAGCATGATGCTGCCACCCCGTGCTTCACGGTTGGGATGGTGTTCTTCGGCTTGCAAGTACCCCCTTTTTCCTCCAAACATAGCGATGGTCATTATGGCCAAACAGTTCTATTTTTGTTTCATCAGACCAGAGGACATTTCTCCAAAAAGTACGATCTTTGTCCCCATGTGCAGTTGCAAACCGTAGTCTGGCTTTTTTATGGCGGTTTTGGAGCAGTGGCTTCTTCCTTGCTGAGCGGCCTTTCAGGTTATGTCGATATAGGACTCGTTTTTACAGTGGATATAGATACTTTTGTACCTGTTTCCTCAAGCATCTTCACAAGGTCCTTTGCTGTTGTTCTGGGATTGATTTGCACTTTTCGCACCAAAGTACGTTAATCTCTAGGAGACAGAACGCGTCTCCTTCCTGAGCGGTATGCGTGGTCCCATGGTGTTTATACTTGCGTACTATTGTTTGTACAGATGAAAGTGGTACCTTCAGGCATTTGGAAATTGCTCCCAAGGATGAACCAGACTTGTGGAGGTCTACAATTTTTTCCTGAGGTCTTGGCTGATTTCTTTGGATTTTCCCATGATGTCAAGCAAAGAGGCACTGAGTTTGAAGGTAGGCCTTGAAATACATCCACAGGTACACCTGTCAGAACTTTCTAAAGCAATGACATCATTTTCTGGAATTTTCCAAGCTGTTTAAAGGCACAGTAAACTTAGTGTATGTAAACTTCTGACCCCCTGGAATTGTGATACAGTGAATTATAAGTGAAATAGTCTGCAAACAATTGTTGGAAAAATTACTTGTGTCATGCACAAAGTAGATGTCCTAACCGACTTGTCAAAACTATGACTGTAAGTCGCTTTGGATAAAAGTGTCTGCTAAATGGCATATTATTATTATATTATTATAGTTTGTTAACAAGAAATGTGTGGAGTGGTTGAAAAACAAGTTTTAATGACTCCAACCTAAGTGTATGTAAACTTCTGACTTCAACTGTACGTCACAATATACCAAGCATTCTTGCGATAGAGCAATATACAACAAGCTGTTGTATACAACAAATACACAAACATACAATGACCACAAATAAGGACAACAAGACATTTAGGGATTGGATACATACTAAATAGGTCCAAAGGTCATTCAAAGGTCAAACTGTTGTTTGGTCACTTGGTTGCATTCCAGAATGTGACAGTGTTCCATAGCTCAAAAGCCAAACAGCGAAACGAAGATACTGACTCAAAACACAACAGATACACACACAACAACATGTGTGACAACAGACAACAGACACACAACAACAGCAACAATATGTAAACAACATGGTGTGTGTGCCTACAGTGTGTCTACAATGGTGTGCTATAGGAGAACAAGATGTCATTGATGCAGACAAGATACCACTATAATGTGTGTGAATGTATAGACATGGAGTGTGTTCCAATAATCTTATCTTGCTTCCTTTCCTCATCTAATTTCTTCATCTCCTCTCCCCCATTATAACCATTAGGAGTTGTCATCTGTCCAGTCCAATCAGATCAGTGTTCATGAGGCAAAGCAGAGACCAGGAACAAGGAAGCTAGTTTAGACCAGAGCCATTGATATTGTATAGAGATTTTGGCAAACTAGCCTCCATGTCGGATCCAAACGTTCCATGACATTAACATTCTAATCTGCATTCTAATTAGAATGCATGGAACATCTGGTGTCAAAATGGTGCCTAAAATCTCAAACTGAGTTTGCCAAACTCTGTATTTCTACACCTCTGTTTTAGACTGATGGGACATAGGCATTGTCTTCCGACAAGAGCCATACGTCACCCATTAGCAGCGCTAGTCCTTCAACCAACAGTGCAGACGGGAGTCGTGCTACATGATGTAAGACAATGGAAATATACATGTATATTGATAATGATACATAGGCTGCATCTGAAATGGCACCCTGTTCCCCAAATATGGGCCTGGTCAAAAGTAGTATACACAGATGTGAAAACAACAGGAGGGTGGGATGGTGGTTCTAATTATGGAATGGGAATGGTTCATTAACAGACCTGGGTTCAAATGCTATTCAAAATAATTTGAAATACTTTATCCGTGCTTGTTTGTGCTTGCCTAGCTTAATGGACCAATAGAATAGTCCAAAGAAGCATTTCGAATAGTATTTGAACCCAAGTCTGTTCGTTAAGCGGTAGCGGTACCAACCGGGCTGGGGCCTAGGTGGGTTACGTGGGCCCTTGGTGGCGCGGGGGAGCAGGCCCGGGCGGAGGCTGGGCCCAAAGTCAAAATCAGCCTGGGTGTTATCTGTTAGTGTAGTGAGTGCTCAGGAGTTAGTATAGCCTAGTTAGCGTTCAGTCTGGTTGAACCAGGCTAGGTTTAATGCAAGGCATAGGACTAGATTCAGTCCAGAGCGTGGAAGATTTGGCTATAGCGTGATTGGAATTTAAAGGCAATGTTTCCGCGTTCGCAGGGACTGCATTCACAGTAAACGCTGCATATGCCGGCTCAATCGGAAATCCCCTTTAAATGTAAATCACGCTATAACGCGGCTCTTCCACGCTCCGGGTTGAATCTAGCCCTTTGTTTAAGTAGTGTTAGGAAGTTCTGTACAGATCTGTTAGTGTTGTGATCACTCTAGGGATAGCTAGTAGGGTTAATGGAATCCCATACAGTACTATAGTAGAGGTGCTTGTGAGGTGCAGGGGATTTAGCTAGAGATGATCTTAGAATAGTATGGGGACTGCAAATTTACATACACGTTAATACCACAACATCAGAGGAGGCTGGTGGGAAGAGCTATAGGAGGACGGGCTCATTGTAATGGCTGGAATGGAATCAATGGAATGGTACCAAACACATCAAACACACGAAAACCACATGTTTGACTCTGTTCCATTTATTCCATTCCAGCCATTACAACGAGCCCGTCTTCCTATAGCTCCTCTCACCAGCCTCCTCTGCACAACATTAACAAGGGGTGCAAGGGCAAGACTATGACTAACAAATAAGGGACAGCCTTTTTCACAAGAGAGGTTCAGACATACATGTGTTGATGGTACCATGGTATCTTATAGCAGTGGTTCTCAAATGGTTTGAGTGTAGTGATCCATCTTAACCATTGTCTAGACTTTGTTGTCAATAGTTTACCCAGCAACTGTTCCAGCTGACTCAAACCCAAGACTGACTTTTAGCTTATTATCAATATCTATTGACAAGCAGAATTGGCTGACTCTACACTACGTCTGCCTACTGTAGCCATTACATTTGCTAAGTACACCACATGTCTTCTACATAGCCTACTTGTGAGTCACTTGGGGTAAAATACTCTCCTAAACGAGAGACTTAATGCATGCTGGTTTAGTAAGCAGGCAGTTGCAGGGATTTCTCCATTCACTTGTTAAGTGTAAAGGGTCTGATTAGAAAGCCTGAATGTTATGGTGGTTTCTTCCCTCATGTCTCACCTGGTTTGGGTTTGGGTTTGAGCGGGGTCTTGGTGGCTGGGACTTTAGGAGGAACCTTAGAAGGAGCTTTGGTGGTGGTAATCTTCTCTCCTTCTCCAAAGAAGTCTAACAGGTCCAGGTCTGAAGAACACAACATCAAAATGACTGAAGTCAGTACAGTCAAACCATGGCTAGATTAGATACACGTCAAGACAATGCCCATGTATAACATACCTATTAATGCCTACCTGCTTAAGAGATGTAGATTATTTAACCGCTTTGTGCCCGGCCACCTATTAGTCTTTTTTATTTGTCTAAATTTGCACTAGGAATTATTTTCATGCATCTGGTAAGTAGGGGTATTGGTCCCTTCAGAAAGTATTCACACAGAGATGAGCCAAGGGACCAAATTCAGGGAGAAAACGAGGTAAACAAAATACGATTGTGGCCATACCACCCTGAACCCGCCTGTTCAGGGTCGGGCCTGATTAGTACTGGGACGGGAGACAGCTTGGGAATACCAGGTGCCGTAAACTCAAAAAAGAAAAAATAAGTGACTAAAATGTAAATGTAAATAAGTAAAAAGAGCTGGGGGAAATAGAGTTTTCCACATTTTGTTGTGTTACAGCCTGAATTGAAATTGGATTCAATTGAGATTTTTTGTCACTGGCCTGTGGTCCTCTGTAGCTCAATTGGTAGAGCATGGCGCTTGTAACGCCAGGGTAGTGGGTTCGATCCCCGGGACCACCCATATGTAAAAATGTATGCACACATGACTGTAAGTCGCTTTGGATAAAAGCGTCTGCTAAATGGCATAAAAAATAAATAAAAATAAAAAATACACACAATACCCCATAATGTCAAAGTGGAATGATGTTTTTGAAATGTTTACAAATTAATAAAAAATGTAAGGCTGAAATGTCTTGAGTCAACAAGTTTTCAACCCCTTTGTTATGCCAAGCCTAAATAGGTTTAAGTGTGCTTAACAAGTCACTACAAAGATAGAGGCGTCCTTCCTAACTCCGTTGCCAGAGTCCCAAAAGTGACTTTAAAATCGTTACAGAGCTTAATGGCTGTGATAGGTGAAAACTGAGGATGGATCAACAACATTGTAGTTACTCCACAATACTAACCTGAATGACAGAGTGAAAAGAAGGAAGAGTGTAAATACTAAAATATTACAAAACATGCATAAGGCACTAAAGTAAAACTGCAGAAAATGTGGCAAAGAAATTAACTCTATGTCCTGAATACAAAGTGCTATGTTTGGGGCAAATCCAACACAGACACTGGGTGACAAATTCACCTTTCAGCAGGACAATAACCTAAAACACAAGGCAGAATATACACTGGAGTTGGTTACCAAGACGACATTTAATGTTTCTGAGTGGCCTACAGTGAGGGAAAAAAGTATTTGATCCCCTGCTGATTTTGTACGTTTGACCACTGACAAAGAAATGATCAGTCTAATTTTAATGGTAGGTTTATTTGAACAGTGAGAGACAGAATAACAACAAAAAAATCCAGAAAAACGCATGTCAAAAATGTTATGAATTGATTTGCATTTTAATGAGGGAAATAAGTATTTGAACCCTCTGCAAAACATGACTTAGTACTTGGTGGCAAAACCCTTGTTGGCAATCACAGAGGTCAGACGTTTCTTGTAGTTGGCCACCAGGTTTGCACACATCTCATGAGGGATTTTGTCCCACTCCTCTTTGCAGATCTTCTCCAAGTCATTAAGGTTTCGAGGTTGACGTTTGGCAACTCGAACCTTCAGCTCCCTCCACAGATTTTCTATGGGATTAAGGTCTGGAGACTGGCTAGGCCACTCCAGGACCTTAATGTTCTTCTTCTTGAGCCACTCCTTTGTTGCCTTGGCCGTGTGTTTTGGGTCATTGTCATGCTGGAATACCCATATACGACCCATTTTCAATGCCCTGGCTGAGGGAAGGAGGTTTTCACCCAAGATTTGACGGTACATGGCGCCGTCCATCGTCCCTTTGATGCGGTGAAGTTGTCCTGTCCCCTTAGCAGAAAAACACCCCCAAAGCATAATGTTTCCACCTCCATGTTTGATGGTGGGGATGGTGTTCTTGGGGTCATAGGCAGCATTCCTCCTCCTCCAAACACGGCGAGTTGAGTTGATGCCAAAGAGCTCGATTTTGGTCTCATCTGACCACGACACTTTCACCCAGTTCTCCTCTGAATCATTCAGATGTTCATTGGCAAACTTCAGAAGGGCCTGTATATGTGCTTTCTTGAGCAGGGGGACCTTGCGGGCGATGCAGGATTTCAGTCCTTCACGGCGTAGTGTGTTACCAATTGTTTTCTTGGTGACTATGGTCCCAGCTGCCTTGAGATCATTGACAAGATCCTCCCGTGTAGTTCTGGGCTGATTCCTAACCGTTCTCATGATCATTGCAACTCCACGAGGTGAGATCTTGCATGGAGCCCCAGGCCGAGGGAGATTGACAGTTATTTTATGTTTCTTCCATTTGCGAATAATCGCACCAACTGTTGTCACCTTCTCACTAAGCTGCTTGGCGATGGTCTTGTAGCCCATTCCAGCCTTGTGTAGGTCTACAATATTGTCCCTGACATCCTTAGAGAGCTCTTTGGTCTTGGCCATGGTGGAGAGTTTGGAATCTGATTGATTGATTGCTTGCTTCTGTGGACAGGTGTCTTTTATACAGGTAACAAACTGAGATTAGGAGCACTCCCTTTAAGAGCTCCTAATCTCAGCTCGTTACCTGTATAAAATAAACCTGAGAGACAGAAATATTTCTGATTGAGAGGGGGTCAAATACTTATTTTCCTCATTAAAATGCAAATCAATTTATAACATTTTTGACATGCGTTTTTCTGTATTATTTTGTTGTTATTCTGTCTCTCACTGTTCAAATAAACCTACCATTAAAATTATAGACTGATCATTTCTTTGTCAGTGGGCAAACGTTCAAAATCAGCAACGGGATCAAATACTTTTTTCCCTCACTGTAGAGACTTACTGTCACACCCTGGCTCTGGGACTCTATATGTTGAGCCAGGGTGTGTTCATTCGATGTGTTTATTTCTATGTTGGTAATTCTGGTGTGTTTATTTCTATGTTGGCTAGAGTGACTCCCAATCAGAGGCAACGAGTGTCAGCTGTCGTTGGTTGTCTCTGATTGGGAGCCATATTTATACTGTCTATTTTCCCTTTGTGTTTGTGGGTTCTTGTTCCGTGTTCGGTCATTGTTACCGTGGACTTCACGAGTCGTTTCTTGTTTTGTTGATTGTGTTCTATTATCACTAAAGATAATAAAGTTAAACATGTTCGTTCATCACGCTGCGCCTTGGTCTGTTCAATACGACGACCGTGACAGAAGAACCCACCATGCAACGACCAAGCAGCGTGTCCAGGGGCAGCTCTTGGGCTGGACATGGGAGGAAGCGCCGGGAGAAGAGACGGTGGAGGCGCGCCGTAGAGAGGAGCAGCGGCGCCAAACGGGTCAACGTCGGACAGGCGAGAGGCAACCCCAGAAAATGTTTAGGGGGGGCACACGGCATGGACGACGGGGCTGACGGAGGCAGAAAAGGGGCGGATTCAGAAGGCCACCAGGTTACGGATACACCGCCCTGTACGTCCTGTGCGGATGCCTCACACAGAGTGTGTGAGGGTAGGCATTCAGCCAGGACGGGTTGTGGCCGCTCTTCACTCCAGGTCTCCTATCCGTCTCCACAGCCCGGTTCGGCCTGTCCCTGCTCCACGCACCAAGCCTACGGTGTGCGTCGCCAGCCCAGTCCGGCCAGTCCCTGCTCCACGCACCAAGCCTACGGTATGCGTCGCCAGCCCGGTCCGGCTTGTCCCTGCTCCACGCACCAAGCCTACGGTGTGCGTCGACAGCCCAGCCCGGCCTGTCCCTGCTCCATGCACCAAGCCTACGGTGTGCGTCGCCAGCCCAGTCCGGCCTGTCCCTGCTCCACGCACCAAGTCTACGGTGCGCGTCGCCAGCCCGGTCCGGCCTGTCCCTGCTCCACGCACCAAGCCTACGGTGTGCGTCGCCAGCCCGGTCCGGCCTGTCCCTGCTCCACGCACCAAACCTACGGTGTGCGTCGACAGCCCAGCCCGGCCTGTCCCTGCTCCACGCACCAAGCCTACGGTGTGCGTCGACAGCCCAGCCCGGCCTGTCCCTGCTCCACGCACCAAGCCTACGGTGTGCGTCGCCAGCCCAGTCCGGCCTGTCCCTGCTCCACGCACCAAGTCTACGGTGCGCGTCGCCAGCCCGGCCCGGCCTGTTCCTGCCACTCGCACCAAGTATACGGTGCGCGTCGCCAGCCCGGCCCGGCCTGTTCCTGCCACTCGCACCAAGTCTACGGTGTGCGTCGCCAGCCCGGCCCGGCCTGTTCCTGCCACTCGCACCAAGTATACGGTGCGCGTCGCCAGCCCGGCCCGGCCTGTTCCTGCCACTCGCACCAAGTCTACGGTGCGCGTCGCCAGCCCGGCCTGGCCTGTTCCTGCCACTCACACCAAGTATACGGTGCGCGTCGCCAGCCCGGCCCGGCCTGTTCCTGCCACTCGCACCAAGTATATGGTGCGCGTCGCCAGCCCGGCCCGGCCTGTTCCTGCCACTCGCACTAAGCCAGGGGTGCGAGACGTCAGCCTGGTAAGGCCCGTTCCTCCTCCACGCACCAAGCCAGGGGTGCGAGTCGTCAGCCTGGTAAGGCCCGTCCCTCCTCCATGCACCAAGCCAGGGGTGCGAGTCGTCAGCCTGGTAAGGCCCGTTCCTCCTCCACGCACCAGGCCAGGGGTGCGCGTCGTCAGTCCAGCACAACCCGTGCCTGGGCCACCGGTGCCTGGGAAGGTACCGGTCAACTGCTCCACTATGGAGCTGAAGCTAACCGCTCCTGCTAAGTCCAGTTCAGCTCCAGCCGGCGGGGCCAGACTGGACCAGGGGCGCTATGGGGGGTGTATTGGAGGGTGGTGGTCAAGGCCGGAGCCAGAACCGCCGCCGAGGAGGTATGCCCGCCAAGCCCTCCCCTGTTTTGTTCAAGTTGAGGCACGGTCGCAGTCCGCGCCTTTAGGGGGGGGTACTGTCACACCCTGGCTCTGGGACTCTATATGTTGAGCCAGGGTGTATTCATTCTATGTGTTTATTTCTATGTTGGTAATTCTGGTGTGTTTATTTCTATGTTGGCTAGAGTGACTCCCAATCAGAGGCAACGAGTGTCAGCTGTCGTTGGTTGTCTCTGATTGGGAGCCATATTTATACTGTCTATTTTCCCTTTGTGTTTGTGGGTTCTTGTTCCGTGTTCGGTCATTGTTACCGTGGACTTCACGAGTCGTTTCTTGTTTTGTTGATTGTGTTCTATTATCACTAAAGATAATAAAGTTAAACATGTTCGTTCATCACGCTGCGCCTTGGTCTGTTCAATACGACGACGTGACACTTACCCAGAAAAACTCACAGCTGTAATCACTGCCAAAGGTGATTCTAACATGTATTGAGTCAGGGGTGTGAATACCTAAGTAAATTAGATATTTATGTATTTCATTTTCAATAAATGTGCTAATATTTCTAAAAACATGTTTTCACTTTGTCATTATGGGGTATTGTGTGTAGATGGGTGAGGAAAAAATATATTTAGTCCATTTTGAATTCAGGCTGTAACACAACAAAATGTGGAATAAGTCAAGGGGTATGAATACCTTCTGAAGGCACTGTAGTTACAGTAGAGGGTAAAAAGTAGGCATCCACACAGTATGAAGGGGAGCCCTTCATGGTGGACTAAATTACTATTTTCAAATATATGGATTCAAAGTATTTATTGACATTTTTAAACCGTAGATTATTGTGATTATTAAGAAGTGGTATGTGTTACTTGTAGGGGTGCCCATGGTGCTGTGGATCAGAAGTATCCGGTGCAAAGGAGGCAGATTGTGTGGTGGGATCCCGTCCTTTCAGACCGTATTTTGTGGCGCAAAGTATAATGGGTTCATACCCAAGTCTAGTTGGTGGCAGTAATGCAACATAATGTATATTGGATGCCAACTGCCGTAAAACCTAATCGAAGAAGAAGTCTACTTTGCACGTCTGCAGTTTTAAAAATAAATGAAGTAATTTTACATCTATTTATTTCTCAGTTCCACTTTTATGCCTTTTAGATGAGAAGGTATCGGCCAGCTTGTCACATTTGGTGTCAGAATTGGGATTAGCCCCTATCCTTTGGGGTGACCTATGGTTTTAATAGGTTTTTAGAAGATGTCAAGACTGAGGTTCCAGGATGGACTGAATTAACAGCCAAGAGGCCTCGAGCAGATACAGTCCTGAGGATGCAGACCAGCAGCAGAGGAGGTCAGCTAACCACGGTGCCAGTGTTCCATTGGAGGAGAGTCCAGGAGGGGCAGAAGTAGACGGTTGCTGAGCCCTGAGGAGAGCAGCAGAGCCTGGTATAGGAGCAGCAGGGAAAACCCCTTGTTTGGTTGGGGTAAATGTTTGCTGCTACTGCCTGGAGGGAGCACCGGTCCAGGCGCCCATTGATTACAACCCAGAGGTCCAGTACAGCCTGCCTGTAGCCCTGTCCCAGGTGTAATGTCCTGGCCCGCAGGGCTTTGATTGCATGAAGGGGAAGCTATGTATAGCCCTAGTATGGAAGGGGAGTTGTGTTCCAGAATCTGGAGGGGATGTGGTCATGTGGGACTTTTCATTCAGTATGCACTATAGCAAGGTGAAGGTTGAACAGTAATTCAATTGAACTCGATGGCAACTACACGGGTGGCTGTTTCTCTTCCTGTCTCACTGATGCAAGCTTTGTGAAACTGGACAAGGGGGAGGAAATGTGAAGGAGAGCCCTTCACTATGGACTAAATTACTCTTTTAAATACACTGCAAAATTAAGGGAACACTTAAACAACACAATGTAACTCCAAGTCAATCACACTTCTGTGAAATCAAACTGTCCACTTAGGAAGCAACACTGATTGACAATACATTTCACATGCTATTGTGCAAATGGAATAGACAACAGGTGGAAATTATAGGCAATTAGCAAGACACCCCCCAATGAAGGACTGGTTTTGCAGGTGGTGACCACAGACCACTTCTCAGTTCCTATGCTTCCTGGCTGATGTTTTGGTCACTTTTGAATGCTGGCGGTGCTTTCACTCTAGTGGTAGCATGAGACGGAGTCTACAACCCACACAAGTGGCTCAGGTAGTGCAGCTCATCCAGGATGGCACATCAATGCGAGCTGTGGCAAGAAGGTTTGCTGTGTCTGTCAGCGTAGTGTCCAGAGCATGGAGGCGCTACCAGAAGACAGGCCAGTACATCAGGAGACGTGGAGGAGGCCATAGGAGGGCAACAACCCAGCAGCAGGACCGCTACCTCCGCCTTTGTGCAAGGAGGAGCAGGAGGAGCACTGCCAGAGCCCTGCAAAATGACCTCCAGCAGGCCACAAATGTGCATGTGTCTGCTCAAACGGTCAGAAACAGACTCCATGAGGGTGGTATGAGGGACCGACATCCACAGGTGGGGGTTGTGCTTACAGCCCAACACCGTGCAGGACGTTTGGCATTTGCCAGAGAACACCAAGATTGGCAAATTCACCACTGGCGCCCTGTGCTCTTCACAGATGAAAGCAGGTTCACACTGAGCACATGTGACAGATGTGACAGAGTCTGGAGACGCCGTGGAGAACGTTCTGCTGCCTGCAACATCCTCCAGCATGACCGGTTTGGCGGTGGGTCAGTCATGGTGTGGGGTGGCATTTCTTTGGGGGGGCCACACAGCCCTCCATGTGCTCGCCAGAGGTAGCCTGACTGCCATTAGGTACCGAGATGAGATCCTCAGACCCCTTGTGAGACCATATGCTGGTGCGGTTGGCCCTGGGTTCCTCCTAATGCAAGACAATGCTAGACCTCATGTGGCTGGAGTGTGTCAGCAGTTCCTGCAAGAGGAAGGCATTGATGCTATGGACTGGCCCGCCCGTTCCCCAGACCTGAATCCAATTGAGCACATCTGGGACATCATGTCTCGCTCCATCCACCAACAGACTGTCCAGGAGTTGGCTGATGCTTTAGTCCAGGTCTGGGAGGAGATCCCTCAGGAGACCATCCGCCACCTCATCAGGAGCATGCCCAGACGTTGTAGGGAGGTCATACAGGCACGTGGAGGCCACACACACTACTGAGCCTCATTTTGACTTGTTTTAAGGACATTACATCAAAGTTGGATCAGCCTTTAGTGTGGTTTTCCACTTTAATTTTGAGGGTGACTCCAAATCCAGACCTCCATGGGTTGATACATTTGATTTCCATTGATACTTTTTGTGTGATTTTGTTGTCAGCACATTCAACTATGTAAAGAAAAAAGTATTTAATAAGATTATTTCATTCATTCAGATCTAGGATGTGTTATTTTAGTGTTCCCTTTATTTTTTTGAGCAGTGTATATGGATTCAAAGTATTTATGGACATTTTTAAACCGTCGATTATTGTCATGCAATGTTATTTATTTTCTGTGTCAATTCATTCATTTAATCCATAACCTGATCTCTATCATTGCCTGTTGTATTGCATTGCTCATTGGCACAGGTGCCTGCAATGTGTAACCAGGGCCTGTGTTTTCTTGAAAACATGTTTCCTGACTGTGGGAGAGCCATTTGTTTTAACCACCAGCCATGTGCGTTTACTTTGTAACGGCCCTGCGACACTACAGCCACCGGGCGTCTGGCATTGCCATCAGCCATCAAGGGAACGCATCCTTTGAACTCAATGAAAGCTGCTATACTGCCCGTGTTGCGCTCACGTTGTCGTAGAAATATTTGACTCAAAAAGTAGTCAATTTAAAAATATTATTTGCATAACAAAGCCGAGCTTGCTTCATGGAGCAACAACTGTCTCTCTTTGGCTTAGAGCTCCCTTTTATACACACAAATGCATAATCATGTTACATAGCATATACAGTCCCTCCCCTTAGGGCAAATGATTAACTTATTTTAGTGCCACTCTACCCTTATCTTTCAACGTCCAGATGTCACCTGTAATTTACTCCAAAAGGTCATGGGCGCTTTTCCACAAGAAGCCTCTTCCCTAATCTCACTATATTGGTAGCAGACCCTTTCCCTAATCTCATTATATGGTTGCAGACCCTTTCTTTACAAATAATACACGTACATACATTAAGGCATTTATCATTTACCATCCTCCCTGGCCCTTGAGATTATGTGCATGTGGCCATGTGTCAGGTCATAGGGTCATAAGCAAAACAAATGATAACACTAGGTCCATTGTTACTCCAATCTCCACACAGCCATCACATGTCATTGACATACCCAGACCAGCTGCAGGGAGTTTATGAAAAACACATAAATGTCTCTGTTCTGTATTAACCCTTCAACTGGTTCTCAATCCATAAACATTTTAAGGCATATAGGTGTTTAATTCTACAACATACAGTGCCCTCCACTATTATTGGCACCCCTGTTTAAGATGTGGTCGAGGACTTCCAAAAATTCTAAGTTTTTTTAAAACAACATAGAACCCAAATGCAAAAAAAAATAAATCCAACCTTTTATTTAAGTACATTACTTTGGTGGTAAAAAAAAAAATCACACATTTAGAAAAAAATAAACTTGAAATCATGTGTCCCACAATTATTGGCACCCCTAACAATTCCACTGAAAATGTTAATTGATTTTTTTTTAAATATATTTTTCTGTAGTTGCTAAAGTTGGTCAGGGTATCTAGGAACTTTTAATTAGTAATTCATGACTTCCTGTTTCCCTGGGGTATAAATATGACGTGACACAGAGGCCTAATTCTCTTACCCATTTGTCAACATGGCAAAGACAAGAGAACACACCATTCAAGTAAGGCAGATTTGTGTCGAACTTCATAAGTCAGGCAATGGCTACAAGAAAATAGCCACTCGCCTTAACTTGCCCGTATCTACAGTCAGAGGAATCATTAAGAAGTTTAAAATAACTGGAACAGTGACAAACAAGGCTGGAAGAGGTACCAAGTTTATCTTGCCACAACGCACAGTGAGGAGGATGGTAAGAGAAGTAAAAAAAAGTCCTAAGCTCACTGTCAGAATTGCATCAAAGAGTGGCATCTTGGGGTCACAAAGTCTCCAAAACAACCATCAGACGCTCTCTACATGCCAACAAGCTGTTTGGGAGGCATGCAAGGAAAAAGCCTTTTCTCACTAACACTCACAAACGTAAATGTCTGGAGTTTGCTAAGCGGCACTGGGACTTCAACTGGGATCGTGTGCTTTGGTCAGATGAGACTAAGATTGAGCTTTTTGGCAACAAACACTCTAAGTGGGTCTGGCGTAAAACAAAAGATGAGTATGCCGAAAAGCACCTCATGCCCACCGTGAAGTATGGTGGAGGATCTGTGATGCTATGGGCCTGTTTCTCTTCCAAAGGCCCTAGGAACCTTGTTAGGGTGCATGGCATTATGAACGCTTTGAACTACCAGGACATTTTAAATAAAAACCTGATGGCCTCTGCCAGAAAGCTGAAGATGGGTCGTCATTGGGTCTTTCAGCAGGATAATGATCCAAAACATGTGGCAAAATCTACACAAAAATGGTTCAGCAGTCACAAACTCAAGGTCCTCCCATGGCCATCTCAGTCCCCAGACCTCAACCCAATCGAAAACCTTTGGGGCGAGCTAAAGAGGAGAGTGCATAAGAGAGGACCCAGGACACTGGATGATCTAGAAAGATTGTGCAAAGAAGAATGGTCAAAGATCCCTCTCTCTGTGTTCTCCAATCTTGTGAAATGTTATAGGAGGAGATTAAGTGCTGTCTTGTTGGCAAAAGGGGGTTGAACAAAGTATTAACATCAGGGGTGCCAGTAATGTACTTAAATAAAAGGTTGGATTTTTCTCTTTTTTTGCATTTGGGTTCTATGTTGTTTTTTTTTTTAAAATGAGAATTTTTGGAAGTCCTCGACCACATCTTAAACAGGGGTGCCAATAATTGTGGAGGGCACTGTATGTACTTGAAAATCATCCATAACGTTGCATCACGTCCAATGGCAGCGTCCAAGCTCAAGAATCGCAGAGGTTCAATTGTCGATGTGAATTCTTGTGAATTGAAATAATGAGAAATAACAACACCCACTGTGTAGCAGGTAGAACGTCACATTGACGTGACGCTGAGGGCAAAGCAACGCGACATCTATAGTGGAGCTGAAGTGTAAATCAGCAGTTTTTAAAAGTATTTTTATAACTATTTCTCAGTTCCTCTTTTATACCTTCTAGATGACACGGTATCAGCCAGCTTGTCACACACAGTATCTGCATTATGCTGATATAGGGAGAATTGGAAGTAGATGCTGCTTTTTCTAATGTTAGAACCTTATATAATCAATAGCAAAACATACACTACATCTTTATTAGTAGTCTTTCAAGTGGTCAATACCAGCTTAAATGCCTGCCAATATAATAGATGGTATCTACGGTACAGGCAGATATAATCAATAACAGAGATAGTCTATATCTAGATTAATTAGTGAATCTGGGATCGTTTACCTGCTCCCGATGGAAATAGTTTGGGTTTCGGTGTGGCTGCTGCTGCTGCTGAGGAAAAGAGAAGAGAACGATGTTACACAGAATGCATAGCTTCGTACTCAGACACTGGAAATCAGGGTTGGAATAAATCATTTTTAAATTAAGTCAATTCAGGAAGTAAACTGAAATTCCAAATCCAGTTTTCATCAATGTTTCTGTATGAGAAACAATTGGAATTTCAGTTTACTTCCTGAATTGACTGAATTGAAATGGAATTTTCGCAAACCTTGCTAGAAAGACATTGTCAACTGAATGCATTGTCCATGTATTCTATAGACAAAGCATGAATCCAGGTTGTGCGGAAAAAGACAGCAGTAAGTCTTTCTGTACTTACGTGCTTTAGTGACATCGCCATCCCCCAAGGCATCAGACAGATCAAAGTCACCATTTTCCTGGGACAGGACTGCAATACAGGAAGGGTGGAAGGAGGGAGGGAGGGAGGAGGGGGAGAGGGACAAGAACGGAGACGAGGGAGTGGAGGAGTTTTTACACAATCTATTGCAGAGAAAAGGACAGGAACTTTGCTCTAGTCACCATGTACACCCAAAAAAACTGAAACTGAATCACATACAGTGAGGGAAAAAAGTATTTGATCCCCTGCTGATTTTGTAAGTTTGCCCACTGACAAAGAAATGATCAGTCTATAATTTTAATGGTAGGTTAATTTGAACAGTGAGAGACAGAATAACAACAACAAAATCCAGAAAAATGCATGTCAAAAATGTTATAAATTGATTTGCATTTTAATTAGGGAAATAAGTATTTGACCCCTCTGCAAAACATGACTTAGCACTTGGTGGCAAAACCCTTGTTGGCAATCACAGAGGTCAGACGTTTCTTGTAGTTGGCCACCAGGTTTGCACACATCTCAGGAGGGATTTTGTCCCACTCCTCTTTGCAGATCTTCTCCAAGTCATTAAGGTTTTGAGCCTGACGTTTGGCAACTCGAACCTTCAGCTCCCTCCACAGATTTTCTATGGGATTAAGGTCTGGAGACTGGCTAGGCCACTCAAGGACCTTAATGTGCTTCTTCTTGAGCCACTCCTTTGTTGCCTTGGCTGTGTGTTTTGGGTCATTGTCATGCTGGAATACCCATCCACGACCCATTTTCAATGCCCTGGCTGAGGGAAGGAGGTTCTCACCCAAGATTTGACGGTACATGGCCCTGTCCATCGTCCCTTTGATGCTGTGAAGTTGTCCTGTCCCCTTAGCAGAAAATCACCCCCAAAGCATAATGTTTCCACCTCCATGTTTGATGGTGGGGATGGTGTTCTTGGGGTCATAGGCAGCATTCCTCCTCCTCCAAACACGGCGAGTTGAGTTGATGCCAAAGAGCTCGATTTTGGCCTCATCTGACCACAACACTTTCACCCAGTTCTCCTCTGAATCATTCAGATGTTCATTGGCAAACTTCAGACGGGCCTGTATATGTGCTTTCTTGAGCAGGGGGACCTTGCGGGCGCTGCAGGATTTCAGTCCTTCACGGCGTAGTGTGTTACCAATTGTTTTCTTGGTACTATGGTCCCAGCTGCCTTGAGATCATTGACAAGATCCTCCCGTGTAGTTCTGGGCTGATTCCTCACCGTTCTCATGATCCTTGCAACTCCACGAGGTGAGATCTTGCATGGAGCCCCAGACCGAAGGAGATTGGCAGTTCTTTTGTGTTTCTTCCATTTGTGAATAATCGCACCAACTGTTGTCATTTTCTCACCAAGCTGCTTGGCGATGGTCTTGTAGCCCATTCCAGCCTTGTGTAGGTCTACAATCCTGTCCCTGACATCCTTGGAGAGCTCTTTGGTCTTGGCCATGGTGGAGCGTTTGGAATCTGATTGATTGATTGCTTCTGTGGACAGGTGTCTTTTATACAGGTAACAAACTGAGATTAGGAGCACTCCCTTTAAGAGTGTGCTCCTAATCTCAGCTCGTTACCTGTATAAAAGACACCTGGGAGCCAGAAATCTTTCTGATTGAGAGGGGGTCAAATACTTATTTCCCTCATTAAAATGCAAATCAATTTATAACATTTTTGACATGCGTATTTCTGGATTTTTTTGTTGTTATTCTGTCTCTCACTGTTCAAATAAACCTACCATTAAAATTATAGACTGATCATTTCTTTGTCAGTGAGCAAATGTACAAAATCAGCAGGGGATCAAATACTTTTTTCCCTCACTGTATTTTGTTACCCCAAGTCCTACATCAGTGATTCTGCTACTATATCTACATCAATGCATTACAATCTTTCCAAACTACAGCCATAATAATGGTGCAGTAGTATATAACATGTGCACAACACATTAGTTCTGAGTGCAGCAACACTACCAACCAGACCTGGGTTCAAATACTATTTGAAATCTTTCAAATACATTGAGTGTTTGAGTGTACCTGGCAAAACCCAGACGGGCAGGGTTTTGCCAGGTAAGTTCAATAGTTCTGAATGATTTCAAATAGCATTTGAACACAGGTCTGCAGCCAACCCTTTTTTCTTTCCAGTGTAGTGAAGAATGCATTGCGTTCTATCAGATCTAGATATCAACAAAGGCACTGAGATGACTGACTCCATGGTTGTGTACTTCTGACCAGGGCTCAGGGCTTTAAAGGGAATATGGTGCCGTTTGGGACACAACCCATGACAGACTCCATGCATTCCTCCTGCACATGGGACAAAACAGCTTTTGTATGTAGTCACACACACACACACACACACACACACCTCTTTTTCAAGTTTTTCTTGCTACAATGAGTGATCATGAAAGATCTAAAAGGCCCATAAGGGGTTTTGCCCTCCAACAAAATAATTTGGGATGTTTTCAATCAGGACAGATACAATATGTGTCTCATTATCATTAGACGGGTCATAGGTTATCTCTAGTAAGGCTAAGTGGGAGTAGGAGGCAGTTGTCCCTCTACACTGATCTAAGGTCAATTTAGCATTTTGCACCATAATGGTGCTGGGTTAGGCTTTAGGGAATAATAAGATGATCCTAGATCTGTGTCTACAGGCACCTTCTACCCTTCTAAACATTTACAGTGCAATTTCCGTAATGATCGTTATGAAACTACTGCATTTCATGTGTGTTTATTTGTGAAATTCATAGGAGGCATGTTAGTGTAAGGCAGCATCCTGTATCTAATAATATCTGTAATAGTCAGAGAGCAGCATTCTACACTGGTCTGAGAAGGGAACTATCCTAGCACACGCACACACACACACACACACACACACACACTGGTCTGAAAGAGGTAGAAACACAGACTCAGATAACCCTACTAGCCAAGTACTGAAGGGTCAACCTTCAGACCAAGAATAATCTTGGTTAACCGAGAACTAAAGTATTGTGTAATTTGTCAGCTGCTCGATTAAGTTCTGGGCCTATACAGTGCATTTGGAAAGTATTCAGACCCCTTCACTTTTTCCACATTTTCTTACGTTACGGCCTTATTCTAAAATGGATCAAATAAAATAAAATCTCATCAATCTACACACAATACCCCATAATGACAAAGCGAAAACAGGTTTTAAGACATTTTTGCACATAGAAAAAAAAGAGAAATATCTTATTTACATTAGTATACAGACCCTTTGCTATGAGACTCGAAATTGAGCTCAAGTGCATCCTGTTTCCACTGATCATCCTTGAGATGTTTCTACAACTTGATTGGAGTCCACCTGTGGTAAATTCAATTGATTGGACATGATTTGTAAAAGGCACACACCTGTCTATAAAAGGCCCCACAGTTGACAGTGCATGTCAGAGCAAAAACCAAGCCATGAGGTCGAAGGAATTGTCCGTAGAGCTCCGAGACAGGATTGTGTCGAGGTACAGATCTGGGGAAGGGTACGAAAACATTTCTGCAGCATTAAAGGTCCCCAAGAACACAGTGGCCTCCATCATTCTTAAATGGAAGAAGTTTGGAACCACCAAGACTCTTGCTAGAGCTGGCCACCCAACCAAACTGAGCAATCGGGAGAGAAGGGCCTTGGTCAGGGAGGTGACCAAGAACCCGTTGGTCATTCTGACAGAGCTCCAGAGTAACTCTATGGAGATGGGAGAGCCAACCAGGCCTTTATGGTAGAGTGGCCAGACGGAAGCCACTCCTCAGTAAAAGGCACATGACAGCCCGCTTAGTGTTTGCCAAAAGGCACCTAAAGGACTCTCAGACCATGAGAAGCAAGATTCTCTGGTCTGATGAAACCAAGATTGAACTCTTTGGCCTGAATGCCAAGCATCACGTCTGGAGGAAACCAGGCACTGCTTATCACCTGGCCAATACCATCCCTACGGTGAAGCATGGTGGTGGCAGCGTCATGCTGTGGGGCTGTTTTTCAGCGGCAGAGACTGGGAGACTAGTCAGGATTGAGGGAAAGATGAACGGAGCAAAGTACAGCGAGATCCTTGATGGAAAATCTTCTCCAGAGCGCTCAGGACCTCAGACTGGGGGCGAAGGTTCACCTTCCAACAGGACCACAACCCTAAGCACACAGCCAAGACAACGCAGGAGTGGCTTTGGGACAAGTCTCTGAATGTCCTTGAGTGGCCCAGCCAGAGCCCGGACTTGAACCTGATCGAACATCTCTGGAGAGACCTGAAAATAGCTGTGCAGCGCGCTCCCCATCCAACCTGACAGAGTTTGAGAGGATCTGCAGAGAAGAATGGGAGAAACTCCCCAAATGGGAGGTGTGCCAAGCTTGTAGCGTCATACCCAAGAAGACTTGAGGCTGTAATCACTGCCAAAGGTGCTTCAACAAAGTACTGAGTAAAGGGTCTGAATACTTATGTAAATGTAATATTTCAGATTTTTATTTTTAATACATTTGCAAAGAAAAACAAACAAAACTGTTTTTGCTTTGTCATTATGGGGTATTGTATGTAGATTGATGAGAAAAAACAACAACAATTGAATCCATTTGAGAATAAGGCTGTAACGTAACAAAATGTGGAAAAAGTGAAGGAGTCTGAATACTTTCTGAATGCACTGTATGTGCTCCACCCTCTCTCGTTGCAAGTTACAGGCCGAATGTCTCCTCCCCTTCCGAAATTAGAAAGATGCTAACACCTGCGAAATTGTGATTCGTCCAAATAACCAGTGACGAAAAACACTGGAACTACTGCTGCTCATTAGCCCATGCATCCCATTCCTTCCCGACAGATTCTATATGTTTACCTCAATCTGTTCTCGAGAGATTAGGCCAAGAATACAGAGTAGCTACACTTGCGTAGTTACACACACACACACACACTCACATGCATGCACACACACACACACACAGACACTGCTGCCCTCTCCCTGTCCCTTCTGAGATCTGGCAGGCAACTTGTGGGTGATACTGGCCGGTAACACTAAAAATAGATCCAGAGCTAAAAACACCACTGTCTACGTGAATGTGTGACTGCAGGCCAGGCTGGGTCACCATGCACCTCTGCAGCACAGCAATGGTTCGATTATTAATGAGACCTTAACTAATAATATTACTTTCATTATTGCAATTTCTTAGCTTTGGCTATTGCTATTAGTATGCTATAACATAGCTTTTACTCTTTATAGTATTCAGCTCTATTACTATTGCTACGTTATCATTATTGATATTACTTATACCTATGTAGGCTATCTCCCACCCAGGGTGTAAGGGTATTTGTCCTGCCCTGCTATAGAGGAAACAGCAGCACCCAGTCTCTGGCATATGATGAGTTTGAAATTCTGCTGATTTTCGTCGGAATTCTGTGTGTGCGGATTCCATACGAGCCTGATGATGACCTCAGAAACAACCACGTGACTTCTGATCATCGCTCTCTGACTTATGCGATGCGATCATTGTTCTTCAAATGCTGATGAAGGCTTGTCGCACGAACACAATCTTTTGACCTCTGCTGCTATTTGAAGAACATTAAAACGTAAAGACAATTTTTGATTTTCCACGTGGATCTTGCTCATAACAACTAGTTACTTTCTACATCATAGACATGAACAGTCATCTCTACACCATAGCAGTTAATTAGCTATAATTTCTCAGGTCAACATTGAATTCACAATATGAACGGTTGTCTATAGAGATCTGTATGGAGCCCCAGCTGGTGTGTATCAAAGTGAATAAATAATTGATTCCTCTGTTTTATGACGACCACCACATGGCTTTGTCTCACTGCCGGTCTGGGGATTGATCTTATTACTCTTCATTAAGTCTTATTATGTAACACAACCCAAAAAGAAAGTTGACATTTACATAGATGCTCTTATCCAGAGCGACTTACATTTAGTGAGTGCATACATTATTATTATTATTACTTTTTTTCATACTGGCCCCCCGTGGGAATCGAACCCACAACCCTGGCGTTGCAAACGCCATGCTCTACCAACTGAGCTACACGGGACACACATGCATGAGTGCTCATGCACATACACACACCCCTCCTCTCCTCCTCCACAGACACGCACAACCCAAAAAGCTCTGTTTTTTTCTCTGTCACACACACACATACACACACAGCACACACACACACACATGCATGTTCACAGTCTGCACAAGCACACACACCCATCATCTCCCTCTCCCAAAGAAAAGACTGCAGCTGAGGTTATGCCCCCTCCTTTCCTCCCTCTCTCCCCCCTCCTTTCCACCTCCTTCATCCCCTCATCCCAAAATCCAAACCCCTCTAGCTAAAATTAGCTAAGTATGCACTTATATGTGAAGGGTGGCAGAGCTGGCAGACTAAACTTTAAACATGCAGGGGTTTGTCCCAAATGGCACCCTATTCCCTACATAGCATAGGGTACCATTTGGGACACAACATTCAGATCATTAATGCAGTAATAATCTGAATAGAACAGAATAACAGAATAGGACTTGAGGACTCATTGTCTCACAATGACACGCTCAGTGTGTGTGTGTGTGTGTGTGTGTGTGTGTGTGTGTGTGTGAAGGGAGGAAACTGGCACACTCAAGGTTTGAACCTGCACCTGCCATGATGGAGAGAACGAAAGAGCGACCCTTGGAAGAGAAAGGAAGAAACACACTCCACTCACTGAATGGGACCGTAGTTCCTTAGCTCACAATCTAACCATTCAATCAAAAACCATGCTGTCTTATGAGTGTATCCTAACTGCCTAAGTGATCCACCAAAAATGTTAACTAGACTATCGGTTATTTTGAGACAATCATCATCAATAGCCTTTTTGCATATCTCTTTCATTAATTCATCAATAATTTGTGATAAACAAAGATGATTTTACCCCTTAAAAATCCATCCATATTACCCCAGAATAACACCTATATCAATCCTGAATATTAGTTCTTATTGTCTTGCCTATTTCCATTCTCAGAACATGATGTCCTACTGGGCTACAGGCAGACTGCTATGTGACTAGACTGCAACGAAATCAACATCTCAGGGAACGTTTTTTCACCCCACATCTACACATAAATCTTCCTCTTGTGTGATTAATTAGAATATTCACATCGGTAAAAGTGTGATTAGAACGTGATTCATTTGGGTTCTGGAATCAAACATATGGAACATCAGTTCGCTGCCAGACTGGCTGGTCAATATGGCTCTAAGTCCAAATCAGACAGATACAGGCATCACTGGGCAGTTAGGCTAAAACATATTTTAACACGTAACTATGTAATAACCGAGTCTCGATTGCTGGATAATGAACTATGCAGCGGCTTAGTTGCTGCCGCCCGTGTACCGTTATTATGTTTAGAATAAAGAAATAGGGCCTACTGGTTACAAACAACAGACCGAGGCAACAAAAAACTGATGAACTATGCAATAGCGTGAACCGCAACAAAGAAGAGAGAGAGAGAGAGGGGTTGGGCGAAACGCTTACCTTTCACAGCTAGCAGCGAGACCACTATAAAGATTGACCACGCCGAAAATGTCCCCATGTTTGAGATTCGTCCGTCCGGTGTTGAATCGACACTGGTTCTGAAGAGAGTGATAAAATAACGTTACACTGTAACCATAAATCGACTTATCTTCTTATCCGTGAGACTGGTTGCTACAATGTAACAGTTTTTTGCTACTTTGATCCCCAAAAATATTTGTTTGGCGGCACGGGTGCGACAGTGGCAAACAGTTTGCTGCAACTGAACGGACAGTCTGCAGTGCGAACGTGCAGCCGTGCGCTTGCGGAGAAACGAGAGCGTGCTCTGTAGGCGCAGCAGCACAAGCTACAGCTTGGTGGAATCATACGTTACAACGGCGGCAAAGGGCGGTTCCTTTTGGTTTTACAGATGCAGACAGACAGACACACAGACACAGTGTTATTTCCTGTTCTAATGGTGAAAATGCCTATGATGGTGCCATATTGCATATTCAGGAATGGCCTGTAGGCTTGTTTTTTAGTGAGGGTGTGTAATAGACTATGCATGATGTTGAACTTTTATTAGCCTACAGCTATTACAGAGGCAGACAGACAGACAGACACACACACACACACAGAAATGCAGGCAGACATCAGACAGACAGACAGACACACAGACACAGTGGTGATTTAAATCCAGTACATTATTTCCTATTCCAATGGCGAAAAAGGCCTATGATGGTGCCATATTGCAAATTCTGGAATGGCCTGTAGGCTAGGTTTTTAGTGAGGTTGTGTAGGCTAATAGATGATTCTTTTTTATGTTGAACTTTCATTAGCCTACAGCTATTACAAAGGCAGACAGGCAGACAGACAGACAGACAGACAGACAGAGACAGACAGACAGACAGACAGACAGACAGACAGACAGACAGACAGACAGAGACAGACAGACAGACAGGCAGGCAGGCAGGCAGGCAGGCAGGCAGGCAGGCACAGATTTAAATCCATTTCCTTTTCCAATGGCGAAAAAGGCCTATGATAGTGCCATATTGCATATTCAGGAATGGCCTCCAGCTTCGTTTTAAATGGTTAGTAAAAGACACTGCATTATGTAGAAGTTGAATTGCCCTACAGCTACAGACTACAGCTGCTGCATGATGTAGAAGTTGAATTGCCCTACAGCTACAGACTACAGCTGCTGCATGATGTAGAAGTTGAATTGCCCTACATCTACAGACTACAGCTGCTGCATGATGTAGAAGTTGAATTGCCCTACAGCTACAGACTACAGCTGCTGCATGATGTAGAAGTTGAATTGCCCTACAGCTACAGACTACAGCTGCTGCATGATGTAGAAGTTTAATTACTCACCAATGTGTTGTATTCAAAATATTAATAAGATTCCACCCATGAGGCCACTAGGTCATTTGACTGCAGGAAAGGGCTAGTTGTAGAGTAATTAAACTGCTGCATCATGCAGCTGCTGTAGTCTGTAGCTGTAAAGTACTTAAACGTATATATCCTGCAGTAGCTGTAGTCTGTAAAGTAATTAAACTTCTATATCATGCAGCAGCTGTAGTCTGTAGAGTAATTCAACTTCTATATCATGCAGCAGCTGTAGTCTGTAGAGTAATTAAACTTCTACATCATGCAGCAGCTGTAGTCTGTAGAGTAATTAAACTTCTACATCATGCAGCTGCTGTAGTCTGTAGAGTAAATAACCTTCTACAGTATGCAGCAGGTGTAGTCTGTAGAGTAATTCAGCTTCTGGGCCTCCGAAGTGGCGCAGCGGTCTAACATGCTACCCAGACCGCAAGCGCATTGGGTTGTTATTTTACCTGAAATGCACAAGGTCCTCTACTCTGACAATTAATCCACAGATAAAACGGTAACATTTTGTTTTCTAGTAATCTCTCCTCCTTCAGGCTTCTTCTTCTTTGGACTTTATATGGCGGTTGGCAACCAACTTTATGGTGCATTACCACAACCAACTGGACTGGAGCGTAGACCTCAGTTCATCTTTCAATCACTCACGTGGGTAGATGCTCCTAAAAACCAATGAGGAGATGGGAGAGGCAGGACTTGCAGCGTGTTGAGCGTCGCAAATAGAATCATGTTCTATTTTAGAGCCTGGTCACGCAGAGGCTCGTTGACGCGCACAAGCAGTGTTGGTGCAAAGATTGAAGTTTGGGGTCACTTAGAAATGTCCTTGTTTTCGAAATAAAATTATTTGCAACTCTGCCTAGAAGGTCAGCATCCCGGAGTCGCCTCTTCACTGTTGACATTGAGACTGGTGTTTTGCGGGTACTATTTAATGAAGCTGCCAGTTGAGGACCTGTGAGGCGTCTGTTTCTCAAACTAGACACTCTAATGTATTTGTCCTCTTGCTCAGTTGTGCACCGGAGCCTCCCACTACTCTTTCTATTCTGGTTAGAGACAGTTTGCACTGTTCTGTGAAGGGAGTAGTACACAGCGTTGTACGAGATCTTCAGTTTCTTGGCAACTTCTCGCATGGAATAGCCTTCATTTCTCAGAACAAGAATAGACTGACGAGTTACAGAAGAAAGTTATTTGTTTCTGGCCATTTTGATCCTGTAATCGAACCCACAATTGCTGATGCTCCAGATACTCAACTAGTCTCAAGAAGGCTATCATAAGTTGAATGCACCAATTTGTAAGTCGCTCTGGATAAGAGTGTCTGCTAAATGACGTAAATGTAAATGTAAGGCCAGTTTTATTGCTTCTTTAATCAGCACAACAGTTTTCAGCTGTGCTAACATAATTGCAAAAGGGTTTTCTAATGATCAATTAGCCTTTGAAAATGATAAACTTGGATTAGCAAACACAACGTGCTATTGGAACACAGGACTGATAGTTGCTGACAATGGGCCTCTGTATGCCTATGTAGATATTCCATATAAAATCAGCTGTTTCCAGCTACAATAGCCATTTACAACATTGACAATGTCTACACTGTATTTCTGATCAATTTGATGTTCTTTCGAAAACAAGGACATTTCTAAGTGACCCCAAACTTTTGAACGGTAGTGTATGTGTAAATGAAATTGGCCCAGCGTCGTCTGGGTTAGGGGAGGGTTTGGCCATGGGGGCTTTACTTGGCTCATCGCGGCGGGCTGGTGCCTGCAGGCTGACGCCGGTTTCCCCCAACACATTTGTGCGGCTGGCTTCCGGGTTAAGCTGGCGGGTGTTAAGGAGCGCGGTTAGGCGGGTCATGTTTTGGAGGACGCATGACTCCACCTTCACCTCTCCAGAGCCCGTTGGGGAGTTGCAGCGATGTGACAAGATCGAAATTGGGGAGAAAAAGGGGGGTAAAATACAAAAACAAATTCATGAAAAATAAGGAAAGGGCGAAAATCAACAAACACTGAAATATGTACATCTGCTTTAAAGGAACAGTTCACTCAAAAGGATGTCCCTGTAAGAGTAGATCTGGAGGACCCCCCTTTGAAGGGATAGTTCAGTCGGAAGTAAAACATGTGTCAGAGCATTTTCCTCAAGAGACCACATTCCATATAATCTATTCTATAGATTCCACTATAAGCAGGAGAAATCTGCAGGTCTCAGTCTCAAATGAATGAATGAGAAATATAGCCACAATCTAACTCAAGTTTATTAAATGATTACAACATGGTAATTGTCCTACAGTGATTCATTAAATAATCTATAGGCCTACCAACTCCAATAAACTATACATTTTATCACTACATATGAGGTAAAATACAAAACTGTAGTAAAATTAATTAATTATTGAATTATGTGTGTTCAGATCTGTATCTGTAGCCTACGGTCCTATTTTAACCTATCACCTAAGAAAGAACGCTGTCTCCTAACATCTAAAAAGATATCCCATTGAACTTATATGTCAGCATACAGGCCGTACCCAATACGCACTGCTGCACACACTACCATCCTCACCCTCTGAACTTATATACCAGTCTAAAACTTTTCTCAGCGGCTGTTTTTGAAAGAGGTGGGTGTGACCAGGCCTCCTTTTCGACCAATAACGAACGAGAAATCCGGAGTGTGTGTGAAGACACGTCCAATCAGCAGTTTGGGAGGTTGTTTTAAATCGACCCGGTCGCTAGCCAATCAGGCCGTTCTCGTATTGAGCTAGCGCGAGGCTGTGTAGTCTACATGGGGATAGAGAAGACAGGGGAAAGGCGAGACCGTAGGATTCCAGAATCCGGACTGACTGATCGTTAACAATACAGGTACGTTCCACTGTTATGTTATACATAACGCAATAATAACATTACATTAAAAAAAAAAAAAAAATCAATTGGAATAATTTAGAATATTGTTTTGTGTTAAATTATATTGTCATTTTTATCATTTGAATTGAGATGGTGTTATTTTTAAGTGTTTACGTGGTATTTTAGTGCAATTATAGTTTAAATGTGTTTAGATGTTATTCATCTTGCAGTCAAATAGTGTTTGATAATTTTCCTCCCTATAATGTGTGATTTGTTGTGTTATTGACAGAAATCTGCCCAAAATGTTCTTGATCTATTTTATTATCGTTTACACGGTCATTTACCATAAAGAAAATTTACATTTGTCACTGTTGTTTCGTTGACTCTGTGTTTTTTCCAGATTTTTAAAGTAACCAAAAGTTATTAAACTGTAATTTTCTGAGGCTTGTATTCCTCAAACGCATCGCTGCTGTGTGACACTGAATATGGCTGGCTATATCCTGTCTACGAATAACACTGTCCTTATGTTGCGAACCAATTTCGATATCATCTACATAAATACTCGTACATTTTCAGAGTAAACGTTCGTTTTCCGGCCAACTTTATTATCTCTATTCAACCATGTAAAGATAATGTTAATGTCATCGTCGAAAATGGTTTTTGAGATTTGTATCGCTCGTAGTCAAATGATCGCTCTCACCATGTAGTAAAATGGCTGGCGATTTAAACCATTGAAGAGAGGCAGTTCTAACACGGAGAAGGGACGGGGATTTTCTTTAGAAAAAAACAATTTCCTATGGACGAAAAATACCGCTATTTATCGTTTTCCATTCAAAATGTTTATCTCTAACTTTCTGCATTAAAGGATTTTTATTTCCCCCCGTTTTTATTCCTTTTCGCAACTTCTCGCTTGCACCAGGATGACTCACATAAGAAATGGCTGGCGCACTGTCTTTGTTAACGGATAGCAATGCACCAAGCGACCGTCAGGGGTATAACTTCGGAAAACAGTGAAATGTCACGAAATACGCATTGCCAGTTTTAATGTTTTAACCTCAATAAAAATAACGGTCTTTGTTTTATCTGACGAGGTTATTTTGTTTTTAATTAACGGTCAGATTTAGTCGTTATAGCCCTTGGAACCGGAGGGGGTGTGAATCGCTTTGTTACATAGTCAACCCCATAAGCCTTCCCCTCGCTAGCTCTACAGAAGCCATTTTATTCAATGGGAGCTCCAGCGAAGAACAGCAAGCTCTCTTCGCCTGTATAGCAGCTAGTACTACCCAATACTAGGCGCTATGAACTGGGACTGAAAGCGACCGAACGGAGCAACGAATTAAAACCAGAAAAGTAATACATTTTTTGGCAAAGTAAGATCGAAATAGGCAAGAAGGTGGAAAATAAACAGGAGTTTCTCTCATGAGAACAAATTTCACAAAATGGTAGATGAATAATTCGCGTTGATGACCTCTGTTTTTCTCTGTCTGTGTAGTTGAAGCTTCTCATTCTATCGCAACATTGTAACCAGAGTTGGAGCGCTCGCTATGCTATAGCTTGTATGAAGAGAGTAGAGTTCGCGTTGCGTTGGATGCAGTGAAGTAAAGTTTAGGGAGCTGAAAAATATGAAAATAAAAGCCAGAAAAATGGCTAATGACAAGGTGGGCGGTGGCGAGAGGAGAATATGGCGGGGCTTCCTTATTAGATTGAGATTTAATGTAAGGTATTTTGTAAAAATGCAAAAATCCTTTTTAGATTAGAATTCTTTTTTTTTCTTTCAATATGGAATTTATATCAGAGTATGAATTCACATTCCTAACAATGACATCATATTTCTCAAATAGCCTAGTTAAATAATTGTACGTTTTTTTGAGAAATTAAAAGAAAAACCTTACACTTTAAATAATGCAATCGTATTACATTGTAATTACATAGTACATACATTGTACAACATAATAACAAATCAAAAACAGACATCACAACAGCACACAGACTCATTGACACATTTTCTTAAATCCATATAATTTCCTTCATTCCACATTGTCCTTAATTCCAAGACTGCTTGAGCAATTTCTTCTCCAGTGTCACACTCACAGAATGCTAATTCATTCCAACCAATTCTAATTCTAGAGCTAATTGGAATTCATTCAGATTTTATAACTCATTCTAATTCTAGAACAGATTCTTATTCTAGAATTCATACTTATTCTAGAACTTGTTCTTATTCTAGAACTCATTCTAAATTCAAATTCACTGGTTCCCTTCTATGGTTCCACCATACTGTGAAGTTGACTGTCACTTGGTGGTCAATGATGTTAAATTAATGTAATGGATGTTGGGTAATCAAATTATGTCTGAATTAATTTGACAATAAAGATCACAGTTAGTCTCCAACATGAATTGTGTCTGACTTTCTGCTATTTTTAGTTTATTCATTTTTTAGAAACCAATATAGAGACTTTAACAAATGTTATCAAACCTTTATTGAAATAATCATAAAAAATGAAAATGCCATGAACAGAAATATGTGAATTGTTGGTCCCATGTTTTATGAGTGGAAATAAAATATTTGTAAAAAGATCCACATGTACAAAAGCTTATTTCTCTCAAATTCTGCGCACAAATATGTTGACATCCCTGTTAGTAAGCATTTCTCCTTTGCCAAGATAATCCATCTACCTGACAGGTGTGGCATATCAAGAAGCTGATTAAACAGCAGGATCATTACATAGGTGCACCTTGTGCTGGGGACAATAAAAGGCCACTCTAAAATGTGCAGTTTTGTCACCAACACAATGCCACAGATGTCTCAAGTTTTGAGGGAGCGTGCAATTGGCATGCTGACTGCAGGGATGTCCACCAGAGCTGTTGCCAGATAATTGAATGTTCCTTTCTCTACCTTAAGCTGCATCCAACACTGTTTTAGAGAATTTGGCAGTATGTCCAACCGGCCTCACAACCGCAGACCACATGTATGGCGTAGTGTGGGCGAGCATTTTGCTGATGTCAACGTTGTGAACAGAGTGCCCCATGGTGGTGGCGGGGTTATGGTATGGGCAGGCATAAGGTACGGACAACAAACACAATTGCATTTTATCGGTGGCAATTTGAATGCACAGAGATACCGTGACAAGATCCTGAGGCTCATTGTCGTGCCATTCCTCCGCCGCCTTCACCTCATGTTTCAGCATGATAATGCACTGCCCCATGTGTGGGTTCGATAAAATAATGTATGTGCTAACTGTAAGTCGCTCTGGATAAGAGCGTCTGCTAAATGACTAAAATGTAAATGTATGTCGCAAGGATCTGTACACAATTTCTGGAAGCTGAAAATGTCCCCGTTCTTCCATGGCCTCCATACTCACCAGACAAATGGTGGTCACACCGGATACTGAGTGGTTTTCTGATCCATGCCCCTACCTTTTTTTAAAGGTATCTGTGACCAACAGATGCATATCTGTATTCCCAGTCATGTGAAATAGATTAAGGCCTAATTTATTTATTTCAATTGACTGATTTCCTTATATGAACTGTTGCATTTATATTTTTGTTCAGTATACTTTGGCAGTTGCATCATCTGATAAAAAAACGATTTCTTCACTTTCTCAGCATAAATCGAACCACACCATTGAATGAACCGATTTCCATCTTCTCTCCACTCTCCCCTCTCCAGATACTGACCTAACCAACCACCTGACCAATTAACCAATAAACGAGTTCCACAACGCTGCTAGGCCCCGCCCAGTGACCAGGATGGCTAAAGGCACCCCCGGGAAGCCCAAAGGCAAGATGTCTGCCTACGCCTACTTCGTTCAGACCTGCCGGGAGGAGCACAAGAAGAAGAGTCCAGAGATACCTGTCAACTTTGCTGAGTTCTCCAAGAAGTGCTCCGGACGATGGAAGGTGAGGATAGAATATATTATAATAAAATATAATAGATCTTTGATTGATGGTGGGTAGGTGGATGGTTGATTGATTTATTGATTGGTGGGTGGGTGGATTGATGGGTAGATAGATGATTGGTTGATTGATTGATTGTTTGATTGGTAATTGATAAACGATGATGACATTTATTTTTCTTCAAGAGGAAATTATTTTCACATGATGATGACAAGATGAGTTTACATCTCTAATTACTACATAGTGCACTGCACACATCTGGTTATTGGGACGGAGCTAAATTAAATTAAATGAATATTTTGTTCCCATAAAGGACACGTTTGACAAACCAGCTGGTAGACTACAAGCTGGTTGGTACTGTACAAGTCAAGAACGGCAAGTTATTTGATAACAAAGGAGCAGTTACATATTCCACACACTGTGGAATACAAGACCACACATGTACTCAATGATGTCATGCTGACTTAGCATGCAATGTAAATAATTTAAAAACATTTTGCAACAGAAAACACAAAAATACTTGTTTCTTATATTGAAGGACAAGTCCAGGTAGCCCCTCAAGGGTGCAGAGTTAAATGTATTTGTCATGTATAAAAAATACAATGAAAACGCTCATTCACAACACAAGCGACCTTGCATAAGACCTTTTTTCGTTTGGTGCTTAATGAACACAACCCATGTGTCCGTCTATTGGTGGGTATGTTTTAAGTGGTATAAATGTTGTGATTTTTGCAGACGATGTCTGGTAAGGAGAAGGGGAAGTTTGAGGACATGGCGAAGCAGGATAAGGTGCGCTATGACAACGAGATGATGCACTTTGCCCCTGGCGGCAAGAAGGGAAGGAAGAAGGACCCCAATGCACCAAAGAGGCCCCCGTATGTACCACCCACACACAAATACACACACACATTCAGTATTCTTACCCCTTGACTTATTCCACATTTTGTTGTGTTACAGCCTGAATTCAAAATTGATTAAATATACACTACCGTTCAAAAGTTTGGGGTCACTTAGAAATGTCCTTGTTTTCAAAAGAAAAGCAATTTTTTGTCTATTAAAATAACATCAAATTGATCAGAAATACAGTGTAGACATTGTTAATGTTGTAAATGGCTATTGGAGCTGGAAACGGCTGATTTTTAATGGAATATCTACATAGGCGTACAGAGGCCCATTATCAGGAACCATCAGTCCTGTGTTCCAATGGCACGTTGTGTTTGCTAATCCAAGTTTATCATTTTAAAAGGCTAATTGATCATTAGAAAACCCTTTTGCAATTATGTTAGCACAGCTGAAAACTGTTGTGCTTATTAAAGATGCAATAAAACTGGCCTTCTTGAGACTAGTTGAGTATCTGGAGCATCAGCAATTGTGGGTTCGAATACAGGCTCAAAATGGCCAGAAACAAATAACTTTCTTCTGAAACTCGTCAGTCTATTCTTGTTCTGAGAAATTAAGGTTATTCCATGCGAGAAATTGCCAAGAAACTGAAGATCTCGTACAACGCTGTGTACTACTCCCTTCACAGAACAGCGCAAACTGGCTCTAACCAGAATAGAAAGAGGAGTGGTTGGCCCCGGTGCACAACTGAGCAAGAGGTCAAATACATTAGAGTGTCTAGTTTGAGAAACAGACGCCTCACAGGTCCTCAACAGGCAGCTTCATTAAATAGTACCTGCAAAACACCAGTCTCAACGTCAACAGTGAAGAGGCGACTCCGGGATGCTGACCTTCTAGGCAGAGTTGCAAAGAAAAAGCCATATCTCAGACTGGCCATTAAAAATAAAAGATTAAGATGGGCAGTCTGAGATATTTTTTCCAATGGCACGTTTTGCGGGTACTATTTAATGAAGCTGCCAGTTGAGGACCTGTGAGGCCTTTTAAAATAATAAACTTGGAACGTCTCCTGAGTGGCGCAGTGGTCTAAGGCACTGCATCACAGTTCTAACTGTGCCACTAGATCCTGGTTCGAATCCAGGCTCTGTCGCAGCCGGCCGTGACCGGGAGACTCATGGGCGGCGCACAATTGGCCCAGCGTCGTCCAGGGTAGGGGAGGGAATGGCCGGCAGGGATGTAGCTCAGTTGATAGAGCATGGCGTTTGCAACGCCAGGGTTGTGGGTTCGCTTCCCACGGGGGGCCAGTATAAAAAAATATATATATGTAGTCGCTCTGGATAAGAGCGTCTGCTAAATGACTAAAATGTAAATGTAAAATGTAATTAGCAAACACAACGTGCCATTGGAACACAGGACTGATGGTTGCTGATAATGGGCCTCTGTACGCCTATGTAGATATTCCATAAAAAATCAGCAGTTTCCAGCTACAATAGCCATTTACAACATTAACAATGTCTACACTGTATTTTTGATCAATTTGATGTTATTTCAATGGACCAAAAAATTGCTTTTCTTTCGAAAACAAGGACATTTCTAAGTGACCTTAAACATTTGAACGGTAGGGTATATATATTTTCTCACGCATCTACACACAATACCCCATAATGACAAAGTGAAACCATGTTTTTAGAAATATTTGAAAATGTATTGCAAATGAAATACAGAAATATTGCATTTACATAAGTATTCACGACCCGGAGTCAATACATGTTAGAATCACCTTTGGCAGTGATTTCTGGGTAAGTTTCTAAGAGCTTTGTACACCTGGATTGTATAGTATTTGCACATTATTCTTAAAGAAATTCTTCAAGCTCTGTCAAGTTGGTTGTTGATCATTGCTAGACAGGCGTTTTCAATTCTTGACATATATTTTCTGTAACTAGGCCACTCAGGAACATGAAATGTCGTCTTGGTAAGCAACTCCAGTGTATATTTGGCCTTGTGTTTTAGGTTATTGTCCTGCTGAAAGCTGAATTTGTCTCCCAGTATGTGATGGGTGCTTGGCTCTATTCTGTTTCTTTTTATCCTACAAAGTTAGGAATGACGCCTGTATCTTTGTAGTGACTGGGTGTATTGATACACCATCCAAAGTGTAATTAATAACTTCACCATGCTCAAAGGGTACATTTTTACCCATGTACCAATAGGTGCCCTTTGCGAGGCATTATACAATTTCCCTGGTATTTGTGGTTGAATCTGTGTTGAAAATTCACTGCTCGACTGAGGGACCTTACACATAATTGTATGTGTGGGGTACAGAGATGTGGTAGTCATTCAAAAATCATGTTAAACACTATTATTGCACACAGAGTGAGTCCATGCAACTTATTATGTGAAGGTAATTTTTTGTTATTATTCCACTTTGACATTATGTGTTATTGTGTGTAGGCCAGAGACATTTCAGCTTTTCATTTTTTATGAATCTGTTAAAATGTCTAAAAACATAATTCAACTTAGTCATTATGGGGTATTGTAGGCCAGTGACACAATCTCAATTTAATAAATTTTTAATTTCAGGCTGTAACACAACAAAATGTGGAAAAAGTCAAGGGGTGTGAATACTTTCTGAAGGCATTGTATACGACTGGACGGACAGACAGACGGGCGGACAGACAGACAAACACACAAACACACAACACACTACTTTGCTCATGTTTTGTTTTTGGTAACTATATAAATACTCACACAAGACGTCACATCACCCAAAATGACAAAAGAAAAATCATAATAATCAATCAAATAATAATGTACCTTTTTTCATCTTTTCTCCCTAGATCTGGTTTCTTCATCTTCTGTGCGGACCACCGGCCCAAGATCAAGGCTCAGCACCCCAGCCTGGGGATAGGGGACGTGGCCAAGAAACTGGGCGAGCAGTGGAACAACCTTACTGATGCCACTAAACAGCCCTACCTGATCAAGGCCAACAAACTCAAAGACAAGTACCAGAAGGTAGAAGAACACCTGTGTATTAGTTAATTTAGGAAAAGCTGCTCTTCCTTTGGGGTCCACACAAAATACAATACTAAGCAAATAAACCACACACCTACAGAACCAAGATGCTATATCTTTCTATGGAATAATCTCAAAAGGAGATAAGGGGAGGAAGCCACCTTAGACTTTAGAGATGCATCCGTATCGCTTGTAAATCTAATTCAGTATTATTCTGTGTCTGATAACACATGATAAGATAGTAATATAATATGATACTGATAATAACACATTTGACTCCCTCCCTCCTCTCTGTCTCTCTCTCTCTCTCTCCCTCTCTCCCTCTCTCCAGGACGTTGCTGACTATAAGTCCGGTAAGGGGAAGGTGGGTGCTCCGAGCATGGTGATGGCCCCTAAACCCACGATGAAGAGTAATATGGATGACGATGATGATGATGACGATGAGGAAGATGAGGAGGAGGAGGAGGAGGAGGATGAGGAGGAGGATGACGAGTAGACCGACCGCATTCTGTTTTGTGTGTTGTGTTATTATGATGATGATGAAGACGAAGATGATGACAAATATGGTCATGATTATTAAGTAATGCAGGGGGGTTTTTCAGTTTGAAATGCGATTTGTAGGGGTTAGAGGAAGAAACACTGGTGATATATTTATGTTGCTTAATTATGTTGCTCAGCCCCTGCCACACTTCCCTCCTCCCAACTCTGTTGTTTTGACGTTGTCACTATGTTGATTTTGTGTAAACTGCTTACACAAAGTTCTGTATGTAACAATGCATCCAGTTAAGATGTTGAGACTGTACTTTAGTACGGCAATTGTGTTTGAAGTCGAAGCAGATCCCTAATAATCCCCCCAACAGCTGTGTGTGTGTGTGCACGTGCACGTGTGTGTGTGTTACTGTGTCCATCTCACCAGCACTGTCCAGTGTCTTCCTCAAAACCCTCATAGCATTGTCTCTATACTGGGTGTACATCAATTAAACGGAGAAGCATTTAAAACCAGTGGTAGCATTGCGGTATAAACACCTTTTTGTTTTTGTGTGTGTCACAAATGGCACCATATTCCCTATATAGTGCACTACTTTTGACCTGGGCTCATAGGGAATCCCATAGAGCTCTGGTCAAAAGTAATGCACTATAAAGGGAATATGATGCCATTTGGGACACAGACATAGTTTTTTTAAATGAATGTGCAAGGTGGTGTGTTACTGTATATGGTTGATTTAGACTTAGTCCTTGTTTTTCCCGTTTTAATTTGTATGATTATAAAAAAATATATAGGCCTCCAGATGTAAGGTGATATCAGATTGCACATATCTAGTAGTGGTGTTGTTGGTGTATCTAGGTGGCTGTGTGTGTAGCTGTGTGTTGGTTGTTGCAACAGGAAGTGTTGTAATTGTGAAAATCGAACTCTCTGTTCAACAGCCTCCCATGTAAACAAACAGTCATGGCTGGTTAGCTAGTGCACGCTGGCTAACAGTAATTTAACACTACAACTCACTCATTGTCTGGGGTAATTCCTAACTTCCACTTAAGTCTAATTTTCACTTAGTCATGGAATAGAGGAGGGAGGATACCATCCAACCAACCAATGGTATATAAGGAAACTATCATCTCCCTTTTGGCTAAGTGCACTTTTACAATTAACCGTTCGTTGTTACAAGATCTTCTCAAGGTTGAAAAACACGACACATTGAGTGAAAAAGCACGGCTGTTGACTATTATAATAAACCTGTACTTATCTGTATCTAAGATGATTTTTTCTTTTTTGTATGTTTAGAAAAGCTACGTTTGCAATTATTATTAAAGTATGACATTTTTACATGTGGTGTTATGTATTAATGATTTCCATCTAAACCATCTAAACTTGCTCCACACTCATCTGCCAACAAGTGAACCCCCCTACCCATAACACATGTATTATTATTATTAAACGAGTTGTCTGAATATTTTAACTAAAAGTGGATCTGCAATAAAGAAAACATCAATTGCTCATTGAACTCTATACTTTACTCTTAAAATAATTATCCTGCTGGTCAAATACCTGACTTATTCCATCTCAACCTACAGGTCTGACAACAGAATATTCAAACAAATAATCACAAATCAATGTTTTTTACATTACATTGCTGATTAATCAATGTGATATAGGTCACTCGGGTAAGAACATGAAAAATCCTAGAATTCACCTTCAATCACATTTTTTACAGGTCAACATGATTTTACTCCCACATGTATTACAGTGTTATTGTCCTCTGACAGTGAAATATAATGGGTCTGTATTACCTCTCTCCTTAAACGGATAGTTCACCCAAATTACAAAATGACACATTGGTTCCCTTACCATGTAAGCAGTCTATAGACAAGTTATGACAGTAATCCATGCTTTGGTTTAGTTTCCCTGGCACTGTTTCTACATGCTAATGTTTTAGCAATTGTGGCGCAAATCCCATTCAGGTCATGGGACTGATATTAGCATTTTTTGTGCATCATGTCCAAATCATCCGAAAGTATCTACAATTTATTGTGAAGCTCAACAAAGTCATTTATAGATGTTTTGAGCACGTGAGAAAAATGCTAATATCGGTCCCATGACTTGAATGGGATTTGTGACACAAATGCTAAAACATTTTAATGTGGAAACAGTGCCAGGGAAACTAAACCAAAGCATGGATTGCTGTCATACCTTGTCCATAGACTGATACAGGGTAAGGAAACCAATGTGTAATTTTGTAATTTGGGTGAACTATCCCTTTAACCACAGTCTTGCACTACCCACAGCGTGACTCCCTTAAACAATATACATAGCTCCCAGTAGGGGTCCACAGGTCTATTATTAGGCAGTGTTGACATGTTTGGATAATGGTATTAATAGGGTATGTATTATATGAATGGTGTCCGCTAGATTACAGGGGGGTGATTAGAGGGTTGTTTTAATTTAATTAGAGAGTGGAGGCCCCTTGGTTCTCTCTCTAGGGTAAGGGTTGTGGATGAGGCAAGGGTTAGTGAAGAAAAGGACTAGGGCTAGGATGGACTGTAAGTTCAGGACTTTTGCTGCCACCATGGCGTGTCAGTCAGAATGCAATGAGGAGATGGAGAAGAGGAATCCAGGATTAGTGGTATTTATTATACACACAGTTGAATAACACAGGAACGAACAGAGCATGTGGGGGGAGGGTTTGGATGGAGGTTAGGATGGATGTGGATAACAAGGATGTGTTTAAGGATGTGGCTTGTAAAGCCTTGGAGATAGGGTTGCATGCAGATAACAAGGATGTGGTGTTCTGGAAGGGAGATACTAAAGGGAAACATTAGGAACACAACATAAAAGGTGCATGAATCATAAAGTAGTACCAGGTGAATATGGGGAGAATATGAGATTAACATTAACCATAAACTGAGGAGACAGCAAACACATAACTAGAACAACGGAGCCATAGCATTTAGCAAATTGTGGGCATGGATATACATAGGGATATAACAAGTATATATTATTTAGGACTTACAATCTCCAAACAGTATAATAACAAAGGGCACTTACTTCATCATATCAGGCACAATAGAAGGAGGAAGGATAGGGCAACCCACAGGGCCACCCACAGCATCACCAAGCATAAACTGAACTGGTAGGTAGGATGGAGCATGTAGCTTATATGGGGAATGAAAGGGGTGAAAAAGGTAGAGGAGAGTGGAATGGGAACAGGTATGGAAGTGGCCTAGGGTAATTGGAAGCAATTGGAGTCCTGTAGGGGTGCTATGACCTTTCACAATGGTTGAACAAGGATGTGGACATGAAGCTAGGGTTGAACCGGGGTTGAAACCTAGCTCCAGCTCCAACCCTAACCCTTATACCCCCCCCCCCCCCCCCCCCCCCCCCCCCCACCAAATAGACCTCCCCACCTCTGAATTCCCATTTTAACCCCTGCTCTTCATGTACTGTGTCAATGAATTGCACACCTGGAATCACATCTGGATTCACTACTGTCTACATTTTGCCACTAGGTGGCAATAGAGCTAGATGGATGTATAGAGCCCCATCACAATCACAAGCATACAGGGTTGGGTAGCTTACCTTCTAAATGTAATCCGTTACAGTTACTAGTTAGTTACCTGTCCAAAATTGCAATCAGTAATGTACCTTTTGGAATACCCAAATTTAGTAACATAATCTGATTACTTTCAGTTACTTTTGGATGACTTTCCCCTTAAGCGGCATTAGAAGAAACTAAAAGGATCCATCAAACGCATTTGGTGTGTCTTCATAGTGGTCTCTGACTTGTGGTCGGACTCGCTCAGGTGGAACAAACTTAAATGTGCGCCTATTTTCAATGCTGAATCGAATGTAATTTCACACAAATGCACACACACACACACACACACAGACACAGACGTTTATTTTACTATCCTTGTGGGGACCAAACAATTGATTCCCATTCAATATCCTATTTTCCCTAACCCTAAACCTAACCCTTACTCCTAACCCTAACCCTAAACCTAACCCCTAACCCTAATTGTAACCCTAACCCAAACTGAACCCCTAAGCCTAAAATAGCCATTTTCCTTGTGGGGACTGGCGAAATGTCCCCACTTGTCCAAATGTTCCTTGTTTTACTATCCTTGTGAGGACTTCTGGTCCCACAAGGATAGTAAAAACAAAAACAAAAACACACGCGCACACGCACACAAACACGCACACACACACACACACACACACACACAGGGAAGCAGACTTTCCAATGACAAATAATGACCAAAAAGGCCTCTGCTCAGAGTATCCTATTGTTGCACCAATATTGATTATACAAAATAAACTGCCAGGCCTTGCAGTGAAAGCCATAATCTAAGGAGCATTCTCACATGTGTCACCTTTGAAATCTATAAGACTCCTATATGAAGTCTATAACCTGGAGGACACTGAATTATGATAGTAATAAGAGTAAAACAAATACATTCTGCAAGAGCGATTTGTTTTCCTCCTATCGGTTACAAAAGCCACACCCTCTTCCTAAAGCAGATTTCTAATTGGTGGTCCCGAGGGCAAGGGCGGGCTGACCCTGTTGTCGTTCGTTGATGCACATGTTTCCGAAGCAGCAATTGGTCGAAGGCGATGTCTGTCACACGGGGAGGGCGTGACTCTGTGTTTCGCTCGCTGTCAGAACTCGAGAAGGCTAGGAACGAAACGAAGTGTTCGTTTCCGTCTGTAGGCTGTGGAAACAGAGTTGCAGGTAGCTAGCTGTGCGAGCCGAACCGAGACTGATTGGAGCTCGAGCACGCAACGGAGAGGAGGAAAGAGGAGAGAATTGACGAAGACCTTGATATCCAAAATAGCATCCAGATTTACACAAATATTACACTTTAGTAGCACTAAAACACAAGGCCTGCGAAGATGGGAGACAAGGCAGGCACCAGGTAGGATAAATTCTCAGTATTTGGTAGTTTTTTGGCGTTTTATTTTTGCGGTGATATTTTGTGTTATTTGGGAAAATAGGCCATCGA